TCGATAACGACGATAACGAGTTGCAAGAAGCGACGAACACTATACCTATAATTGGGTCTTGTGTGTCGGTAATGAAGTATCCAAGTCCATAGTCCATTTTCATATGACATAAATTTAAAATTTATAAGTTAGGTATAATAATGTTTTGAAAAAAAATGAGTTGACACACTGTGGCCCCTTTCAACTTGCGGCCCGGGGCTATAGCCCCCCCTAGCCCCCCCCCTTGATCCAGCCCTGTTAGTGATCACTGATAACCTAACATTATTTAAAGTTAGTTTTTTTTTTTTTTGTAATAAAGAATAAGTACTTCTTCAAACAAGTTTTTTTTTTTATTTCATTCATATTTTATTTGCTTACTCGATTAAAAATATAATTTTACAATTATAAAATAAAATATAATATATTATTATAACAATATTTTATTATTATGATACCGTTTTTTTTAGCTGATATGTTATTACCAGGGCTCGTAAGTTCATGCATCTGCATGTTTTTTTTGCTACACAGGAAAACATGCTAACTGAGATACAAATCCGTTTCATAACAATAGTAATAATAATATGAAGTTTGATAGTGCATGTTTTTGCATGTTTTGGGTGTAAAGTCATATTTGGCATATAGTTGATTTTTTACAGTCGTTAGTGCATATTATTTCATAAAAATATTTTTTAGACAAATATTTGAAAAGTTTCTTCCGATTTTTGATATCTTGTTCCAATCGTCCAATATCGCATGGTAAAGTATAACGGTTTTTTAAATTTTTTATTGATTAATTATTTAGCTAATTAATAAAAATATCGAAAATCGGGCTTCTTACGATTGTAAAAAAAGTTCTACTCTACAATTTTTATAATAGGTATTTTTACTGTAAGCCACTTCAATAAGCCGTATTACTTGAATTACGAAACCATGGTTTTATGCCATATTTTGTCTACTAGTGCGCCCTCTTAAGTTGGAAAACATAAAAAATACACTTATAAAATATATATTACTAAATTATCTCAAAATGAAAAATCTAATATTTAATTCCAAATGTTTTCATTGTTGGTGCTGAATAAGGGTGTATACAAATTAGACAAAAATGACTACCTAATTAAAATTTATAAAGATAACAAAGCTATTTGAACTTCACAAGTATTAATTTTATTTTTTATTTTATTAATTTTGACTGTTAAATATATAAAAATAAAAAGGAATAAAATACTTTTAAAATGTATGGATTTATTCTAACTTTAAAATTTGGTCATGTTTTTTTTACATAATGCATATTTTGAGTTTATAATTTAAAAATGTGAAGGCATATAAATGCCTATTTTCGAACTTTTAAGTGCATATTTTAATGCATATTTTGACAATTTTTAGTGCATGAATGCATGCTTATTTATGCATTTTTTAGTGCATGAAGTTACGAGCCCTGGTTATTACAATAAAATAAAATAAATTATTTACAATTTACTACAATTTAAATCTGTATATTAAAAATGAATTGATTTTCCCACAAATGAATTACCTTTATATTTTGTTTAAAAATCATTGGAAAGAAAAATAGTTGTTAATTTTTAAAATTTATGAAAGCTTAAAATAATTGAATGGGGTCATGTTAAAATCCCTATTGACAATAAGCTTTACTCATCTAATAGTCCAGTCAATGAATGACCCAAAATGAGGTGTAGAGTGCGTGAGCAGGTAACTTAGCGATTCCTTCAGAAACTTGTTCGGGGGGCTTAGGGTATTAACATACTAAAAGTCCTGACACCTAGGTGGTGAGCCGGAGGGGGGGAGGGGGGTTAAAGTTGCGCTTTTTGGGTTTTTCGCTTATATCTCGTAAACGGTGCATCGGAGGAAAATTTTTTTAAATAACAAAATAAAGCTCATGAAATTATTTAAAACTTTTATATCATATGTTTTTTTCGAATTCACAACCGTTTTCGAGCTACACCTTCGAAAAAAGTAGAATATTACAAAAAAAACCATTTTACCTCACTATATTCATAAAACAATCCATCATATTATTATCTACCATATTCGTTTTTTTCATTTTTTACTCTGCCACCCCTTTCCTTGGATGACCCTCCCTCAAAAAACATCTAGATTAGGGCATTTGTGTTTATTAAAAAATTAATATATGCATAAATTGAGTTTTTAATTTTTTTTCAATTTATTCTTGCAATAAAAATGTTATACAACATATTATATTACATATTCTACTTATTACTTATATAAATTTAAACTACATCACCATTTGTTCATAAAATCATAATTTCCATCCAACTTCTAAAAATATTAATAGCGATTATAAACTTAATGATAGACTATAATATTGTTGGCTAGTAATAAATATAGATATAAATATATAATAGTAAATATTTGGAAATGTTCGAGTGTTCAACTTGTCATTCCGTTACCCGTATGTCTATATAATATTACTAGCTGATCCCCGTGTACTTCGTCTCCCGATAAATGTATCAACTCAATATGACTCAAACTTTGTTCAATTCGTTATTCAATATTCGGTGTATGGTGTTCAAAATTTATCTTATCTTTTCCGTTGCCCTTAATAAAAATTCTGAATCGCAGCAGTACATTATCAGGTAGATCGCGGACCCCGTGCTGTTTATACGGAAGTGTATGATTTAACTCTAAAATATCAAAGTTATACCAAGTTTATTTTGATATAATACGGTGGATTAATATAACAAATTTGGTTGCTCGTAAAAAATCGCAACTCTTAAAAAAATTATGATTGTTGAACTCCTTTTGGGTGTAACTTGCTGCGGTAAGTGCAACTCAGCCACCTTGGTAGGCAATGTTCAATATTTCGATTTGATGCAAGCTTGTACCTGATCTGCCCGAATAACCAATGGCAACCAATAAATAAATGCTAATTTCTACTGTAGACTGTAACCAATGGCAACTATTAATAAATAAAAATAAAATTTCCAATTTCCATCGTGAATCTCAATGTCCCTGTTTGAGCACCTATTTAAAATGCGAATTTTCGCAAATCCTTTCTTATTGCACGGTGAAAATATGAGAAGAACCTCTATTCCAAATTTCAAGTCCGTACGTTGAGTAGTTTTTGAGATACAGCGATCAGTGAGTCAGTGGTATTTGGATTTTATATGTATAGATAACTAATTATTGACTAACATTATCGGACTTCATTTATGCCTAAAACCTGCTCCGTGATATGATATTGTATGATTGGAAAAAGTGGCTGCCGGAAAGCAATGCTGACTTGTTCTGCAGCGTGCCTCCACTGCCAAGGTAAATGAAGAGCAAGAGGCACCCATTACTACAGACAAAGATGCAATGGATGAACAACCTGGGCCCTCAAATTCAAAGAAAATGAAAATATGATTGCATGTAAAATTAAGAATTACTTGAGAACTACTTATCTGTAAAATAAAGTGTGTATTATCATTATTTTTGTCTGTTTTACTTCTTAAAAGTGTGGCCACATATATTATTACATAAACGAACAAAGGTTGTGGGTCAAGAATATGATATACCTATAGGTACATTTTCTGAAAATTGCAAAATGTTATGAAAGTTGTAAAATAGCTATAAATTTAGGCAGCTTGGAGATTAACAATTAATATATGTGTATATATTCTGAAAGTGAATTTAAATATCTACAACTTCTTTTCTATGCATATTTTTAGTTTATGAATAGGTTTAGACAATATGATGGATTGTTTTATGAATATAGGGAGGTAAATGGTTTTTTTTGTAATATTCTACTTTTTTCGAAGGTGTAGCTCGAAAACGGTTGTGAATTCGAAAAAAACATCTGATATAAAAGTTTTAGATAATTTCATGAGCTTTATTTTGTTATTTAAAAAAATTTTCCTCCGATGCACCGTTTACGAGATATAAGCGAAAAACCCAAAAAGCGAAACTTTAACCCCCCTCCCCCCCTCCGGCTCACCACCTAGGTGTCAGGACTTTTAGTATGTTAATACCCTAAGCCCCCCGAACAAGTTTCTGAAGGAATCGCTAAGTTACCTGCTCACGCACTCTACACCTCATTCCTTGACTGGACTATAATTATAAATAATTAAAAATGTAAATGTATTTTTTACAAATTACAACACTTAAGTAAGGTTGACTCCTCAATAGGACATAAATAAGGGATATTATTCCAGTAGATTTTTTGGATCTAAAATGAATTCCTTACAAGACTCATACAGGAACCATTGAGACCTTATTGGGATATATTTATAACCTTTTCAAGAAGTTTCCAGACCTTAATAGACTGCAAACAGGAATATAATGGGAAGTATACAGACCATAATGGTCCATGTTGTATCACCGGCCAGTTGGTTCCTGGCGGGCAGTCTTGTGGAAAGTCTGAAAACGGATATTAGGAATCCTACAGACCGCCTAAGACCTACCCAGACCGGTCTGGGATTTAAACAGGTATTTCCTATGAATAGTCCCAGAGTCCCAAAAATCAGTCCTAAGACCTTCCTGGGAAGGTCCATGTGTTGTTAGGGAAGTATGTACGTCGTACTAGCACTGCGCTAATTCTAATTTAGATACAGACGGAGACTCGTATATATACAAAGTCTCCCTTGGTTATTAGGTACACGGTAGAGACTCGGAGATGGATCAAAGGAATACCGGCGGTTTGAAAGTTACCGGCGTAAATGTTAAAGTTGTCGAATAAACCTTGAGTTGCGAACTGGTTTATTTGGCAATATGTATTATTAGAAATCGTTATGCGATTTCCAATGGTGTTCTTGAAGTATGTAATAAACCTCAGGACGTGTTATAGTTGTTGATCAATATATCATATAGTGCAAAGTCCTTATGATGTATAATTATAGGAAAGTGACTCTGTCGGTTTACTACAATGTTGAGTGGTGTTGACATTTTGTTTCCTATAACTTGTGTCCATAAAATCACCTAAAAAAACATATTATAATATAAATAGTATATTTATATTTTGTATAGGTACCATCAATAACTGTAATTGAAATCTCTTTCCCATCACTCTAGCTTCTTAACAGTAAATTAAGTTGTTCAAGTTTTCTATCAAAATGGACATTGGATGAATATGAAATAAGCTCAGCAATTTTAGTAGTACAAAGAGATGCCTTTCGAAATTTCTCATGACTACTTTTCGGTTTTTTTGATTTAATCTGTTCTATACGTGGTTCAACATTTATTTCCACATCATATTGTTCATTACATTCAGAATTGACTATGGCTGTTTTTAAAGCTCTTTGTGATCTGTAGTAGAATTCTCTTGACCATCGTTTATCACATAGCGTTGAATCATACAAAGGAAAACCTGATTTTCGTCGATATTCAAATATATGACAGCATGGTAATCTCATTGCCATGAAAAATTGACAATTACATGTTTTTTCGGTTGTATTTTGATTAAAGGATACTTTACTGAGAAATTGTTTTTTAAGAAATTCAAATGCATAAAGTGTTAAAAGATTAAAATATTTAACTAATTATGGATTTTGTAAACTAGTAGTTGGTTGTTTTTGAACCATTTTCAGTGCATTTTTATCCCTTTCTAATCTTAAACATCTAATAACAACAAATAATTTTTCGACAAATGTTTCCAAATTTGAAAAAATAGGAATTACACCTTTTAATTTACCATTAAATTTTTCTAATCTATTGTTTGTTAAATTCATAAAGTTCCCATTACTGCTAGTTAAACCTGTTACCCATTTATTCCTTAAATCATGCCAATTATTATTAAAGTACTCTAAAACTGAATTAGGAGCAACTTCTTGTAGATGTTTATACAAACAGGAATATTCTTCTTCATTTTTTGAATAGCATAGTTTTTCAAAAATATTTTTGACTTGATCTCACACTTGGGGTGTTATTCCACGTTTTTCACAGGTCAATTCTCTATTGAAGGTTCTTAAACTATGAAACAAACATATTTCTAAAGAAGCATCTGGGAATACTTCTCGTATAACTGACCGTTCTTTCATGTCTTTATCGCTGACAAATAAACGAATTAAATTGCTGGCTGAGTTTAAGCGCTTGAAGGTTTGAAAAAACCATAGAAATGTTTCACGTTCTTCATTTACAAGTAATCCAATGCCTCCTACCTCACTTTGCCCATTACCGTCTTCTAATAATAATATGTATACTGGAATTTTCCAGTCTATTAACTAGACATAGCATCAACAAAAATCACCTAAAATCAATTTGAAAATATTAATAAATTATTATTAGTATATAGTTTATAATATACTATTAAACATTTTAGATTTATAATTTCAAATACTACAACGTTTACTGTTTAGGCCTTAGGGTTAAATTTGTTTTAAACTTAGAGGCTTACAGAATTTATTAATTATTAATTATTATATTGATATTTGATATAAAAAAAGTTTATTTCTAGTACTTTTACCTCAGGATATGCTTGAAATGACTCTTGCATAATTTTGTCCTGAATGAATATCCCAATCAAACTATTATCTTCCGACACAGATAATTCCACTGAACAATAATATGTTTTTTTTAATTTTTGGATTATTTCTTCAATATCACAATTTGATTGTTGTTTTCCTTTTAATTAATAAATACATGTTTAGATAAATTATAGAATTTGTGGTATGAAAAAAGTTGTCATTATGTCATAGGTAATAATATGGTTCTACCCAATATTTTATATTATTTAATTAATATGATGTTTGCTGACTGAAATGGAGTGTGTAAAGCCCCCACATATAATAAACTCCCCTAAAAAAATCCTATGTACCATGCCAGGCTAAAAAGATTAATAATTAATAATTAATAATTCATTTAATCATTAATAATATATTAATAGTTAATTCCACTTTTTATTTTATTTTTTTCATTAAAATTTAATCAATATTAGTTGAAATATATCTGAATGCAGAATGAAATATGTGAACATGTATGTATCTCTATATAGTCAGACATGTCATAGTAAATAGTAATTGTTAAAATTGATGGTAAGTAGTAACTTAATAGGTACCTATACAGATGTACAATATACATATATATTATAAAGCATAAAAATGTAAAAAAATACATGTATTTGTATTCAAATACTTTGTGAGTATTCGTAAAATACATTTTTATAATAGTATTTTAAAAGTATTTTTATAACCTTCCCTGTTTCATTAATCAACTTATTCTGGATTAATTTTTTGTTGGCTTTTAAATCCATTAGTTCCACAATTGCTGCTGTTGTTTCTGGTGTTACCTTACGTTGGTTTGGGAGAAAACTATACATAGTCTGAGATACAGGGTGATTATGGATTTCATTAAGTTTGGAAATGACTAATGCATTTCCCTTTCATTTATTCGTACATAAATATATGCTTCACAGCCCTGTTTTAATGTTCTGAAATTAAACAATAATAATATATAATATAACTATTACTGGAAATCAGGCATTTAGAGCCCTAAACACCTGAAAACACAAAATAGTTACTCACGAGGTTATACGTTTGTCAAGGCATATTTTCCTCTTTTTATACACACCGCCGTGTACACATATATATTTTATATAGTAGTATTTCAACTGTCCTGGGGCATTAGCACCTTTTCCACCAGGATGCTTCGCCCGGATGGATTCTAGTCTTACAATCGTGAACAGAAAAATCAACAAAGTTTGTATCTTTATACTGTTTGAACACTTTCTCAAAATCTTCGAAATCTTGAAATTGGTCTCCTAACTTCATCTTGAGTGTAAGAGATTGTAATATTCCAAAAAACTTATTATAAATTATGGCAACTTATTATAGCAACTAGTAACTAGATGATCATGCGCCGATGCCCGATAGTATGTATGAGCATATAATATATAAATAGATTATATATAACAATATAAAATTATGGTGTCATGCGCATAAATCAGCCGGGTATCTATTATATACACGGATGGTTCCGTGTACGCTTTATCTACACGGGCACCCGGGTATCTAGACACAGCGTTTAAGATATATCTTAGATAAGGTATATCTTTAATAGTGATACGGACTAAGATATCTAGATATATTGATGTCTATAGTGATAAATGATAAGGTTAATGATTTTTCCCACAATTCTAATAATAGAATAACTAAAATTGATAATATTATGTGAATAGGAGTGTAATTTGTGCAATAATTGTGCTAGAAGACGCGACGACTGAATAAAATAAAATAATATATTCTTTGCAATATCGCATTATTATACTATTATTTTCATTTGAAGTCCCGTGCACTGATATTCATAGTTATTACTTATTTTATTAAAATGGATGACTCATCTATAAAATGTAGTTGCGGCAAAAGAAAACACACTATAAATGATGTCAACTGGCAGCGGCATTTAGATTCGTGTTGGAAAAGGCACCAAAAAAAACGATGTGATGACTGATGATATTAAATCATTTTTTGTACAAAAAAAAAATGTGCCATAAAGGTAAGTGCTGGTATTAATTAATTTGAATTCTACTAATTATTAAGAGTTGCCTATTATATTATTATTTATTAGTTCTTACTATACAGCAATGCGCCAATGTAATTTAATGATGTAATAAAATGAAGACAATTTTGTAGTTCATAATTTAGAGGCTAATTTATCGCTTTCCTTTGCTCAGAACCGTTTTTTCTAAAACAATTATTTATCATTGCAATTAAAATTACCTAATACTTTTTGTTATGTTTTGCCTTGAGCAGAGCAAAATGAGTTAGGTTAGCACTTCACAACAAACATACTGGATGTACATGTCCATGGATTCTGTATTCCTGTTGAATGATTTTTTTAAAATTTAGTTATGCTTATGATATTTTATAATATAAATGTCAGTCATCAATGACTTTTTTAAATTTAATTTAGAAGAAAATGAAAATGTAATGGACCAGGATACTGCATCCAGGGGCGGATTGGGGAGAGATTCCGGCCCGGGAAAATACAAAGTATACCGGTTTACCAATTTACCAAATATTTAATTTTAGCCAACATAATATTATTATGTATTACTATTTTAACATAACTACACGTTTGGCAAGATATGAAATTTATAAAACTTTATTCGTAGTGTATATACAATATACATCGATATCAAATTTATTTTTATTTTTGAACAGTTTATGTTTACACATTTATAATAGTCCAAACTCCAAGTACTTATATTATATAACACAGTAAAAGTGAATAATTTGAATTACTAATGTTACGATTTTTGTATTTAATAAGAAAGGTTATTACCTATTCAATAATATTTAATAATGCATTTTTAGACTTAAATAAAATCTTATAATTTACTTCCACTTAATATACCTGATAGGTAAATTAACAGAATCAACATGCAAAATGTATGTGTTTTTTTTTTATTTTCTAAAAAAATGTTTTACTGTGGTTTATTCATAATAACATTATGTAGGTACTTCAATTCTAAACAATCAGAAAAATTGTATAGTCTTGTTTTCCTTTAGTATTATTATGTAATATAATATTGAGTAAAATGTTTTGTCTCCGTCTTAGTACAATCTAACAAATTATAGTTCACTATCTGTATTCACCGATCAGCCGAAAAGATATAATAATAACATTTAGCTGTAGTAACTAAATATTATAGAAATTATTGTATACCTACGTAATGTTACTTCCCTATTATTCAATAATTTATAAATTCGCCTAAACGATCGGTTAATTTCTGACCCAAATGATATATGCTTTACTCAAGTTAATTTTGGACTATTCGCCCAAACGAATGACGCTCAAATTTTTTACACCCGAAATACGTGTAGGTACTACTGTATTAGTATACTGAATTAAAAAGTGTATAAAACAATTTTCGGAAATTTAAACACTGTTCAAAAGTTACAGCAAATCATAGTTTTTGAATATTACAGTGCTTACTGCTCAAATCAGGTTGACTTTTTCTATTTTCTACTTCCACGGGATGTCAAGTAAAGTAGACTTTTTCCGAAGTTTGTCGTTACCTAGAGATCACCCAATGTGGTTTTACATAACATATCAAGGGTTGTTTTCGATTTTAACTGTCCTAACTAGTGACCCCGCTATATTACATTAAATATTTGCTGTTTTTGCTTTTCGAAAAATACTATATTTTTGCTTTCTGTCTCTCATCGTTGTGCCATCATAGATTGCCTACCTGATATACCTACTATTGCATACTGTCCGCAATCCAATTCGTATTATCTTATTTTGAAAAATCGGGAAAAAAATGCAAACTTACTGGGCTGGTACCTAATAGGAATTTAAGAATACATAGTTTTTTGAAAAAGCGGCCCACCGGGAAAATTCCCGAATTCCCGGTGGCCCAATCCGCCCCTGACTGCATCAAGTATTACTAGTGTAATTATGCCTGAAATCAGTGGTGTTGTGAATAATATTCAGCTTGAAAACACTCAACAAAATTTAGTAGATTCCCATACAAATATTAATGTAAGTATGGACAGTGTGGTATGGCTTAACTATTTTTTTTTTTTAATAAAACTAAGGTTATTTTGTTATTCATAATTATTATGAAACGCAGGAATCGGATTTGAGTAGTATTGAAAAAAAGAATACTGAAGAACATGATACATGTGACACTTCTATTGTAAATATTACTGAAGGTATATAATAAGTATATAATTATAGATACCTGATCTTTTTTTAAAATAATTGCAATGATTGACAACTGTATTTATATCAATAACAATTTATTTAATTTAGAGCCATTAAAGGAAGTAGCTCAGTTTAGCTGTAGAAGACCAAATATCAATGAAGATACCACTATAACAGTTTTAAAGGGCACTATTGAAGAAGGTATGATTACATAATATGTTTTTATATTAAAATTGTTGAGTATATTGAATGACATATTTATAAAATTTATAATTGTAATTATATTTTTGTAAATTTATGTTAATTTAGATTTATTAGACAATGCAGGGGAAGAAGCTGATTTGAGTTGTTCAAAAACAAATATCCATGAAGATACCACTTTAACAAAATTAAAGTGCACTAATGAAGAAGGTATGAATGTATGATAGGTATACATATATTTTTTATAATACAATTTTTAAGTATATTAATTACATTTATAATTGTAATTTATGTTTTATGTATAGTAATTAATAATAATATGAATACCTAATAATAATATAAAATATAGATTAATAAATTAATAAATTAATAAATATAATAATTGTATTAAGTATACCTATAACAATGGCTTAGATTAGTGCATATTAATTATTATAAGTCAACATTTTTCTAAAACACACTCTTATACACCACTATCTAGATAAGTATATATATTCAACATCACTCCCGAAATAAAACTCTAAATAAGCGCTTGACTCATATAGTCATACCTGATAAAGTTTTTAAAATATTGTTTTTACATTTTGTTATTTTAAGTATAAGTTAGAACTATTACATTTTCTAAAATTCTAAACGGAAACTAGATTTTTTAACTATAATAAAATCGTACTTTTATTTTATATTAAACCTAATACTCGTATATTGAAGATCAAAAATATTATTGTTTTATTTATGTTTTGAAATGATAATTTTTCAAAAGAAGTTATTGTTATAAGCTCACGTGTTTATTACAAGTACATTACTATCCAAATATATTTTATCACTTTATAATAAGTCCAAAAATGTAATGTTAAATTAAAGTCTGAAGAATTAAAAAACATAAATTTGCTTCCCTGATCAATTTTAACTTAATAACTTACAATAAGTGTGCACTAATAAATCGTTAATATAGTACCCACATATACACTCAGACTCAACTATAGCATAAATAGTTAGTAATTACATTTATTGTTCCTATTAAATAATATATTTTAATTACTTTATTTTTATATGTTATAGGGTCATTTGAAACAATGATATCAAACGATCCAGCATTGTTTGCAAAACTGACAAACATTTCAGAAGAATACAGACGAGTACTTGCAACAATGGGCCCTTGCCAACCAACCAAAACTTCTAGAATTACCAGGGAAAAAATTTCCTTATACTAATAATCGATCATTTCATGAACATTATTATTATAAAACTATAAACCATATAAAAGTAAAGCGCCTCTGGTTATCATACTCTCCAATAAATGATAAAATGTACTGTACTATACTCTATTTTTCGAGAGTTGACCCACTTCCGCGCATGCATACTGAGCCGCCGGAACGTTCAGACCCCCCAGGCAGCAGACCGGCGGTCTGTGATTGGTCGGCGGTGTTCGGCGACCGACGGCGCTTGTCGTAGTAGGCAGCTGCCGCCGTGTACAATCGACACCAGCGCTCAAACGAGCGGTGGCATGCGCGGCCGCGACCGGTTTTCGTCGGGCGAGTGGGTCAACTCTCGAAAAATAGAGTATAGTTGTAAACATTTTGGGACTCCTGAAGCACAGAAGCAACCATTGGCAAGAGAAGGGTCAAACAATTGGAGCATGATTTGTGAATAAATAAAACTGCATGAAAATAAACCATATCACTTTAACTTCCGAAATTAACAGAGGAATGTACACTAGTTGTCAAAGGGTAGATATGGGGCTTCAAACTCATAAAAACCAACTTGTGGCTGAAAATCGAGAAATAGTACTTACTATTTTTAGAGCAGTTTTATTCTTAGCTAGACAAAATTTAAGTTTAAGAGGACACAACGAAACGTCAACATCTGATAATCAAGGAAATTTTTTGGAGCTTGTTCATTTATTGGGAATATATAATCCTTAACTTTCATGTCACTTGCACAAAATTAGTGAAAATGCACAAAAGAATCGTCTAACGTTTCTCTCCAATGATTCCCAAAATAAAATGTTAGAGATTTTAAGTGATATGGTTCGAGAACAAATTCTTTCTGAAGTAAAAAAAAGTGGAATGTTTGCTGTAATCATAGACACTACAACTGACTTGTCTAAGCTAGAGCAATTGGCATTTGTAACTTATAATGGAACTATTCAAGAGCGTTTAGTTGCATTAGAAGTAGCTAGAGATGTGTCAGGCAGAGGTTTATTTAATTTATTTTCTAATATATGTGCAAAATACCAATTAGAATGGAAAAAAGAACTCATCGGTCAAGCATATGATGGTGCAAGTACAATGCAAGGGGAATACCAAGGTTTAAGATCTCACATCCAATCACAGAATCCACGGGCTGTATATATTTGGTGTTTTGCGCATATATTAAATCTAGTTGTTGTAGATGTTTGTGAATCTAATGTAGATATTAAAATTTTTATTTCTAATATCCAAGCTTTGACTACATTCATGTCAGCTAGGAAACGAACAGCAGACTTTGTTAAAGCTCAGCTATCTTTGTACCCAAATATGAGAGTACAAAGAATGAAAAATTTGTCCACTACACGTTGGACCTCACACGATCGTGCAATTAATGTAGTTTTTTTTAAATACTTGGCTGTTATAGAAACTTTAGAAAACCTCACTAAGTCACCTGATACTAGTACAGCATGCCAAGCAAAGGGTCTTTATCCAAATATTGCTTCATTCAAATTTATTGCTATAATGATACTTATGAAAAAAATATTTGATATTACCACCCCACTCTCAAATTACTTACAATCATCAACTTTGGACTTTGTATAAGCATTACATTTAGTTGATAGCGCAAAGATCAAATGAAAAAATTAAGAACTGAAGAATTATTTAACAACTTAATGGACGAAGCCACATCATTTGCTACATTGCATAAGTTAGAAGAAATTAGTTTAAAAGAAGAACGAATAAGTCGGAAAACAAAAATGAGTGGTGAAAATTGCAGAGATGAAGCCCCCACTAATGTTAATAACAAATTTAAGATAAATGTATATTTCTACACTCTGGATAAAATAATTGGTACACTAGACAGTCGTTTTCAATCCAGTCGCGGTATATTAACAGACCTCAGTAGACTATCATATGTTCGGATTAAAGATGCAGCAAAAGACTCATTTTTTCCTCCAAATACATTTTTAGAACTTCAAAAATGGCTTCCTGAGATAAATGTAAACAATTTACAATCTGAATATTTGGCTTTTGCAGCAAGCTTTGAATCTTTGGAAGTTGGTGTTACTAATCCGGAAATATCTAAAATCTCTGCTCAACAGTCAAACAATATTAATGAGAATGATAGTGAAAGTGAAGATGTAGAAGTTTCTAATAAAAATGATAAACAATTTGGTTTTGCTTCTCAAATGGTACAAATGATGTGTGGTTACGGTTTAATGGCTTTGTTTCCTAATATATATTTAGCTTTTAAAGCCATGTGTACCATTCCTGCATCTTCTGCTTCTGCGGAACGAGTATTTTCTAAGGTAAGATAGCAATTTTATATATTCAATTATTGTGTGTATCTTTTAAAATTACCTATATTAACTGATTGTTAACATTATAACTTATATGTTATTTTAATTATTGATTCTATATTATGAATCTATATTATAAATTGGTATATTTTTGTACCAATGCAGTCATTGCAGACGCTTTTCACATCTGTATATTGAATACTCTCTGTATCAAATACTCTTAAAATAAAGTAGTTAAATAAATACATAATATTACATTGTTATAATGTTAAAGTAAAACCACGACGGCATGGTATTTTTATTTAACAAGAATAATAATAAATAGAAACAAATTAAGAATTAAAAGAAAAAAAAGGTGGCTAAGTGGGTGTCGCTCTGCTGTACAGTAGGTTACAAGTGGGTCACTGTATAATGGATGGTATTACATTTGAATTCAATGATATAATATCATTGTATAAGAAAAACGAATCTGAGCGGAGACGGTAGGTTCTTCTAGGTACAAGACATATTATATACTTATCTATGGTCTTAAAAAAAATTGACCAATAATGAATTCCAAATTAATCAAATCACAATATCCATTAGGTACTTAAAACGCGTTATACACCAACAACAAACCCTGATACTATCATAGATATATAGTAGTATACTTTAGAAGTTTCAAGTACCCACGAATAATATTATACAATCACAACAAAATAACTAAAATAGTTATTCTAGGTTTTTTTATTATGTAATTTCGTCCAAATTTGAATTTAAAATATCTGTAAAAAATAACTGTGTTCATATATTTTTTAGCTTTTTGGTTACAGTATGAACTATTTATGAGAACCTTTGTTTTAAATTTGTAATCCTTACCTATAAAAATTGAACATTTTATAATTTATTAATTACAATGATTGATAATTTTGATAAATTTTGTCAAAATTCGATCTTTAAATGCTTATAAAAAAAATTGTGCCTATGTATTTTTAATATTTTTCAATCGCTATTGTACAATATATCAGGAGCCTTGTATTAATTTTTTCCACTTTTTGGCCCAACAGATAAAACTTAATTGATATTTATAGAAAAAAAAACTAAACAAAATTGAAAGCTGTAAATGTCCGTAAACAGCTCAAAAAGAGTCAAAATATTTTCAAAATTGTATGGTGTATAGGAAATGCTAACATAAACATTCAGTGAAATTTTCATGTATCTACAGTAATTTGTTTTTGAATTACAACAAAATAAGGAAATCGCTACATGAGAAATCGAGTGAATATCCAATGTTGTAAAAATTTGAATTTCAAACGCTCATAAAAATTTAATTTGATTTTCTTATAGACATTTTTTTTTTTGATAAAGGTAGATAATCTTATGAGGAATCTTGTATTACATTTTCTAATCTTAGATTTAAAAAGAAAAATGTTTACGAATTTTTAACTCAAAATAATTTGCTAATTTTCGTGATTTTTCCATATTTTGTCAATTTTTGAACTTTAAATGCTTATAAAAAAAAAATTGTGACTAAGGATTTTTAATATTTTTTTCTGCCTTTGAAACAAAATACTAGGAGCCTTCTATTAAATATTCAAGCTTTGAAAAAACAAATAAAATTTTATTGATATTTTTAGAAAAAAAACTAAAAACAAATGGAAAATGAAAATGTCCCTAAACAGTTCAAAATAAATCAAAATATTTTGAAAATGTTATCGTGTATAGAAAATGCAAATATAAACAACAAGTGAAAATTTCATGTATATACGTTCATTTGTTTTAGAGTTACACCAAAAACCCAAATCGATTTTTTGGAAAACCGATTTTGCGTAAAAATTCCCGTTTTTCCTTAATTTATATGTTGTTTTTTCCGGCGCTTGTGAAAACTACTGGGAAATTTTTACTTTTGACCCCCCAAAGTACCAACTAGATTTACTTTCCTATCAGAAAAGCTACTGTTGAAGAAAAAATCCAAGTACTTTTACTGTCCCAAAACGTGATGACAGACACAAAAAAAATAAAAAAAACACACACCATTGTAAAATCAATACATTCATCGTTTCACTCAGAATCTAAAAAAGTATTCAATAAAATAGTACTCAACATGGAAAAAAGTATTTGAATACTTTGACTTAAATACTTTACAACACTGTATATTAGACATTACAGAATTGTTCATTAAAAAATAAAAATAAATGTATTAAAATAATGAACTTTGAAGTAATTAATAACCTGAGAACCGAATGTCCTAACCTAATGAAAATATGACGGGGACGAAACGTCCTATGTTTAATAACTCTCCGGGACGAAATGTCCTATCTCAATAATTGCCGAGGACGAAACGTCCGTGATCAGGACCGGATTAAGAGTTTACCGGGCCTGGAGCCCAGTAGTCCAAAGGGCCCTTAATTCATACACTATTAATTACCAATAACTGAATTTTATTTATTTAAAAAAATGATACAAATTAATTGATTGTAGGTACAGATATATCTTTTTTAATCTTTAAATATTAGTTAATTTTTGTTACATACAAATATACAACATTATTGTTTAAATGTCAAAATAAAAATAAAATATTTTAAAATTAACTTTATTAGGTACCTTATTTTATTTTATTTTTTTGAAACTCCACAATTATTTCATCTGTATTTATTTCTTTAAGTAGAGATCTCTCAATGGTCATTTATGATAAAGTGTTCAAGCGTGGATTTTTCATGGTAGACCTCAATTCGTTCTTCACTCTTTTCAATTTTGAAAATGCTCTTTCTGCACTGCAGTTGGCAACTGGAAGACATAAATACAATCTATATGCTACTTCCACATTAGGAAACACTGAATTGAGCTTATTATCGTGTATAATTTGAAGACATTTTAGTGCTGGTAGCATTTTAATTTTTCCTTCTTCATCTTGCTCATCAACTAATTTGGTAAAATGTATCATTTCTTCGGGAAAAATGTCACAATCAAGGTCGTCCGGATATATTTTACCAAGATATTTTGCCATATCCACGATTTCTTTCTCAGTCATAGATTTAAAATAAACAAGAAACCCAAACTTTCTATCTAGATCGTTATATTGTTCAAGTCTTTTTAGCAGGCATATATCTAATTTGTCCATTATAACTATAAATGTTTCAACTCTAAACTTCTCCTGCCCAGAAAAATTGGTCTCTTCTTCATTTCGAATCATTTCATCTGGAGTTAATTTACGAATTATTTTTCTTTTTTTTTCAGTATTATACTTTTTAGAAATAACTTTAGAAAGAGATAATGCCACTTTTTCTATATCATTGAAATTGTTTCTTATTGAACCAATATACTCCCGTAAAGATTTTAAAAGCTTAACAGCGACTGATAAATCAAGTGACTTCTCTTGTAATTTAACACTAGTTTTATCAAATCTTTCTAAAATTCTGTTCCATAGTACTGTCATAAAAGCAATATCAAGTGATGTCATTTTGTTAATAATTATATTTTGTGCTTCGTTTCGAGCATCTTTTTTTATTTCCGTATTTTCACTTAAATATTTTAAACGATTAAGTATGGTATCATAATTCTCACAAAGTACTTTAGTACTTGAATGCAAACAAATTATATTTTATCATACTATTTTTATATTAGGTATAATATAATATCATAAGGTCCTATTATTCCAAACCGATATTACTGCTCGCACGTAAGCAGGTGGTATTAAGCTAGCACACTGCATAATACATATAGTAAAAATACGAAAATTTTATCAAAATAAAATTTAAACTTAAATTATTTTGAACTTGGTCTGAAATAAAAGGCCCCTTCGGGGCCTTCAATATTTCAGGGCCTGGTGCCCGGGCTCCCAGGCTCCGTGCTTAATCCGGCCCATCGAAATTGAGTTTCCTTTTTCTATCGGGGATGGTTTGTAATACTACTTTTTTAAATGGTTTTATTTGTATAAAAAAGTTAAGTAATGTAATAGTTAAGAACTATGAAATAACAGAGTGATTCTCTTGTGTAGTATAATGTAATTGTACATTTTTGCGTATTACAGCGAAAGCCGAGTAGTGAGTAGGTAATATAATAGTAAAAGATAACGCGCGCTCAATTGAACATAATATATATGCATTTTTCTAGCATTTTAATTATACGTAGTTCCGGTGTAAATTGTATTATTATTTATTTATGTACGATTATTATTACATTCATTTTTTATGATAAATATACATACTGAGAACAGTATTGACAGCGACAGCGTATATTGTATAATCATATTTTTGGAAAGCCCGTCGTTATTATTTTGTTATTAATTGTCAGTTATAATAAATCGATATCTTCTCAATTGTCTTTTGATAAGTGATAACCCATTTCTTGCGAAAAATAAACATATAGGTTTGCTAAAAATAGATTAACGTTAAGTTATTATCTGATATGATAATTCTAATCAAAACATGATTACCGTCAACCCGGGTGACTTGGAACGATTTTCACCTTTTAACTACTGTAACACATTCATTATTGATAATTAAATTCTGTCGCACACCTCCAAGGAATAGATTGAGCAAAAAAAAAATTAAGGTTTTAAGTAAATTAAGGTAAAAAAAAAATGAAAAGTGCTTGTTCCAAGTCACCCGGATTTTTGGGTGACTTGGAACATGCGTTTTTTCAAATGCAGATTGCATTTAATCATTTGTGGAAGGTCACTTGGAACGCTACAATTATTTTTAAAAAAAAAAAAGTGTTAAAAACCATATTTTTTCGGTATAATTACCGAAATTTAATACCGTAAATTTCGGTACGTACGACTGCCAGGTATTCGTTTATAATAGTTCCAAGTGACCCACTTTTTTTTTACCTAAAATAAAAACAACCCTGAAAAATGTAAATAATATTATTTCCTAATTTTACTAAGCGATTAACACCAACAACACATTAGGAATTCACTAAAAAATAACAATACCTTGATTTTAGAAGCTCAAGTTACACTTTCAAAGCTCTTAAATTAGGATTTGAAAATTTGGATTTTTTTTACTAAATTATGGTTGCATCACATGGCTTATTGATAAGAGATAACACATTTTCGATGATAACAAAACGTTTACAAAACGTTCCGAAAAATATTTTTGTGGAGACAGAATTTTATTTCCCTTATCCAGCATAAAATTAACCGCTGTTATCAAAAAATAACGCAATTGTTCCAAGTCACCCGGGTTGACGGTATATGAAAAGTTTTCCTTATGGCTTGTACCTTGTGTTTTTGCTTAAACTTTACTAGTTAAAATAATTTAATAAAAATAAAAATTTTCATTTTCAACTTTTAAACTGGTGCTGGTCACTCGTAACTAATTTTAAAAGATGAGTGCTAAACCGAATCGTCGAGTTAAAGGGGCGCAGAAAAAGCTCGACTGAAACGGAATGCCGATTTACAACTTGTGTATTGTATCTTTTAAAAGACATACCTACATTATAAAATATTGATGATCACTTGTTGACTAGTACCTAGCACCTAGGTTATTAGAAAGTGTGTATTGAAATTACATAACCTAACCTTACCTATGCATAGCAATTGTTAAATTTTTATAGTGTAAATTATAATATGGAATAGTTTTGTTGCCTTCTTGGTTAAAAACATATACATTCAAAATAAATATATATTTTTATCACCATAATATAATAATATATATATTCAGGAAAATATATCTGCTCGGTTTGAAAACAGTGAAGATATAAATTATTCTGCTTCCACCAGTTCCACCGTTGTTAAGGTTTGCCAAATTATCAAAATGTTTAGTAAATTACTATTATTATTAACTATAGTTTAAAATTTTTTTAGGAAAATATATCTGCTCAGGTTGAAAACAGTGAAGATATAAATTGTTCTGCTTCCAGCAGTTCCACCGTTGTTAAGGTTTACCAAATTATCATATATATTGCTATATTATGTTTCTGTTGCATCTGTGTGCATAATATTTATTTATTTGTTATAAGAAACAGGCTTGGGCCTAATAGTTACAAAGTACACCAGTACAATGGTTTGTATTAACAATATACAGTATGTAAAAATAACATGTAATAAGAATAACAGTAACAACTAACAAATAAAATATATATTATTTCTTTGTGATGAAATTTGAATAGAATCGATGGAAACTAAGAAACTATATTATGAACTTCTTTATATTGTATTTTTTTTTTAATTTAACTATTTAGCTAGTTATCATCACATTAGTGTGGTCTCTAAAATTTGCACGGGGCTGTCTCTATGTGGTTTATGTTCAAAGGTATTATACTAACCATTGCATGATAATGCATTGCTATTTAAAATTGATATAATTGTGTGTTTGTAATTTTATTATAATTGCATGATTTTTTATTTTTATAATTTTTAAACTGAAAAGTAATTTTTCTATAAATCAAATACTTAATTCTTACTAATTTGCGTTTACTTAAATTAGGTTAACTTAAATGATTCAAAAACCTCAGAAGTTGCTATTGATATTATTGGTGAACAATGCTTTGAAAGTACTAACGCAAATTTTAATTTTAATTTAAATTATAATGCAACTGTAACTCAAAAGTTAGATTTTATTAAAAAACATCCAGTTCAACCTACCTACACCGGAAATATAAACTTTGATGTCAATAAAATGTACTATAGAATCGTTTCCGGGAAAAAATTTCGTAGAACTTGGTTATCTGTTTTAGTCGAAGACAATGATTTGAAGTCAATGTTTTGTTCGATTTGTATAGCATTTGGTTCTGGAATAAGTAATTTGTCAAATAGCAGTGGCTGTACAAATTTAAAATCAATGTACTCAGCTATTGAACGACATGAAAAATCAATTAAACATACTAATGCAGTAGAAAGCTATTTTCAAGCTTCTAAAGAAATGTCCATGGAATATCTTATAAATATAAATATGATGGCTGTTAAAAGGCAAGAAACAGAAAATAATATTCATGTGCTAAAAGAAGTTTTTGAAATTATCAAGTTCCTTGGTCGTCAAAATTTACCGTACAGGGGATCTGCTTCTAATGAAACAATATCAAACTTTGATGATATTTTAATAAATAAAGGTAATTTTCTGGAAATGGTTCAATTTGCATCCAAAAAAGGATGCCATTTTGCATGAACATTTACGTCAAGCTATTAAAAATAGTAAACTAAGGAAGGAGAGGTTAGAGAAAAATAAAAATTTGAATTCAAAAGGGAGAGGTTCACTTGTTACATTTTTATCAAAAACAACTGTTGATAAAGTAATTTCAGGAATTTTAAAGGCTTTAAAATTAACATGGTGATCAAAACTTCAGTATACAAATGGATGGCACCCAGGATGTTGGTGTTATGGACCAAGCATCTATTTGTGTTCGCTATATCAATGATGGTGATATAAAAGAAAGACTTTTTGCAATTGTCCAAGTAAAGAGTTCTAAAGGTAAAGAACTTTATAAATTACTGAAAGATTGTTTTTTTTGAACATGGCCTTAATTTTAGTAATATAATTGGTGAGTCATTTGATGGAGCCAATAATATGAGTGGTCAATTTTCTGGTCTTCAGTCTTTTATAAAATCTCAAAATGAAAATAGCATCTTCATATGGTGTTACAGCCATATCTTAAACAGGGCCTGCGCACTTATACCTATGATAATAAATCCTTAAGAATAGTTATTGAGAATGACACCAAACGCGCTGTAGTCGCTTTAATATTTTATTCCATAGATAAAAGATTTTCCAACTGATATACAATATTGTTATTCCATGAATTTTGGGGATTCCCCAGATTCCATATTCCATAAATTATTTTTCGTTAATTTTTTTTTTCGAGTAAGAATTTTAATTTAGTTTTGTGTTTTGCGCATTACTTGACGTCTTGTGAAGTTGTGAGTTGTGATATTGTGTCTTGTGCTTTTTTAAAAACGTAATATAACATTTTGAACATTTGAATTTAAACATGGTATCGAATAAGTGTTGGGTTGTAGGATGTAAAGATTCAGCAAAAAGAAAGTATATATTTCCAAAAGATTATAATGATCTCAAAATATGGGTCAAAAGAACTGCAAATCCAGTCTTTAAAAATATGTCGCATGAAACTATTAGAAGAACTTATCAAATATGCAAAAACCATTTCGAAAAATGCTGTTATTCACCTGGCACTAATCAAAAATTAAAGCTGCATTCATTGCCTACATTAAACCTTCCACGTAAGTTTTTGTATACCTACCTATTTTTATTATATTTTATTTTATTTTATTAACATTTTTTCTTAAAATATAATTAATGTTTCTTTAATATTAATTGTAAGTCAATTAAATAACTATGTTATAAAGTAGGTCGAGGAAGACTGATTTAAATTTAAATTATATAATATTAATTATTCTGATTATTATTAAAAAATTCTTATAACATTCTGAATCTGTTGTTTACTGTTTTCTTAAACTATAATATATATTGTATACATTGTGTTGTGGATTTTATTACTCAATAATGTATTATGGTTAAGTTATTATTTATATAAATGTACTATTTAAAAATGTTGTATTTACATTGCAGCTTCAATCGGAGAGTCATCATTAAACTGGTCAAGCATAAGCCCACCAAATCATGATAATGGTAAGTAAATATTACATAATTAAATTAAAGTATTGGTTTAGAATGTGACCTACAAACATTATATTGTATATAAATTATGAAACAAAAAAGGTTAGGTACATGTAGGTTGTTTTTTTTTGTAAAATGCAGGATTTCTATTCAATTGACTTTTCTATATGGTATTAATATCATTGACAAGGTGCAATTTAGGAAACATTATTATATAGGAACCTATAAAGTTATGTAATTTCTTTGTCACTTTTATGATAATATTCTCACTTAACACTTAAACATTTCAAAGAGGGAACTAGAAACAGGCATTTTTAAAAGAAATTGCTCAAACATTTTTATTTTACATTATTACATTAGGTAGGTACCTACCTATATCCTTTGGTATGGTTTTTTTTAGTATTTATACTAAGTAATAAATTATTTATTGTTGTTCACAGTTGATATTATGCTACAAGATATCGAACAAGAAGTTGGTATGTGTGTTTCTCATTCAACTCCACTTCATACACCATCTAGTAGTAAACATCAATGTACATCTGGAACAATTTGTGTTTCTAACCAGTGTAAGGAACATAGAAACTTTATTTAATTCAATTTACATTTTTTAATAATTTATTTTTGTTAATAATTTACAGTTTACTCTGATTTAGATGGAATCCTGCCTCTAGAAAATGAATCTAATCAAAACATGTTATTAAAGCCATTAAAATTAAACAGAAAAGGAAAACTTACCCCAAACTGTAAAAAATTATATAAAGAAGCCATGAAGTTGAAACGAAAAGCCGAGCGTTTACAAAAACAAAATAAAAGTGCTAAATGTCAACTAAATTTAGTGAATCGATTTGCAAATAGTACTTTTACATCTCAAATAATAGATAAAGTTAATACAAGCACTTTTAATTTCATTATGAGTCAGATGAAAACTCAAAAAAAGAAACCGCAAGGTAGACGATATAATCTAGATGACAAAATTATGGCCCTTTCAATGTTCAAAAATTCTCCTAAAGGGTACAAATTTTTATCGACAGTATTTGCTTTGCCTTCAAAAAAAACACTTTATAATCTTTTACAGAAAGTCCCATTCAATACTGGCATAAATAACCATATTATAAATAATTTAAAAATCAAGCACAAAAATTATATACTTTGGATAGGTACTGCACGTTGCTCTTTGATGAAATGGCATTAGATGCAACCTTAACGTATGATAAAAAAAGTGACTCTATTTTTGGTTTTGAAAAAAAAAATCTAAAATTTGCAAACCATGTACTTGTGTTTATGTTAAGAGGTCTACGAAAAAAATTTAAACAACCATTGCATACTACTTTTGTTCCGGTACTACAAAAACTGAAGATCTTGTATGTTATATTAAAGAAGTAATTTCTGAAGTACAAACCACAGAATTAAAAATAAAAGCTACCGTTTGTGACCAAGGATGTACAAATCAAGCTGCAATTAATATCCTTTTAAAAGAAAGAATTCACAGGTGTAAAACTCAAAATATTGAAGATAGATACATGGGATTTTTAATTAATGATGAAGAAATTGTACCTTTATATGATCCCCCACATTTGTTGAAATGTATGAGAAATAATTTATTGACTAAAAATTTGAATTTTAATTATAATGGAAAGAATCAAACAGCATCATGGAGCCATATTGAAACTTTGTATGGATTAGATAAACAAAATGAAATTTATGAGTTACGTACTTTGCCAAAATTAACAGAATCACATATAATACCATCTAAAATAAAAAAATGTGTGTATCAGTAGCGGCACAAGTTTTCAGCCATCGAGTAGCTTCAACAATGAATCTTATGGCTAATTATGGTAAATACTAAATAGTATATTATATAGAGAAATGTATTTTGTATTTTTTTTAAATTTAATTTAATACGAGTATATATTTTTTTAAATTTAGATTCTGGTAGTTCACTATCCAACTCAATGGGAACATCTAGTTTGTGTCTTTTTATGGATAAGGTGTTTGATTCTACGAATGGATCCACAATTAATGCATTAGATGGCAAACCCCTAAGATGTGCAGTTAAAAAAGGATCTTCTCATATTCAATTTTGGAATGAAGCAATTAAGGTTTTCAAAACAATGGTTTTTGTGAGTAAAGTAGATAGCTCAGCTGTAAGACAACCAATATGTATAAAAAATTATATAAAAACATTAGAATCTTTTAAATACCTGTGGTTAAAATTAAAATCCGAAGGTTTTAAGTTTCTAATACTAAGGAATATTAATCAGGATTCTTTGGAATGTTTCTTTGGATCTATTAGGAGCCACGGATCCAGAAATAATATGCCCAATTGTTATCATTTTTCTACATCATTTAAAACATTACTTTTAAATAATTTCTCTTCATTAAAGTCATTGGGGAATTGTGAGGTAGATGATAGTATAGGAGCTTTAGATAATTTAAAACAATTCTTATCTGGACAAAATGAAATAATTAGTAATGATGTTTCATTAAATTTAGGTTTGAATTCATTTAATGTAGAATTTGTTAAACCCAACAAATCTACAGTAGGTGAAATGACAATTGGCTATGTAGCTGGCTATATAATTCGAACATTAATTAAATCTACTAATAATTGTAATGTATGTAAAAATGATTGTGTAGATATTCATAATTTTAATGAACTAATTAGTGTTAGAAACTATTCTGATAACAGATTAAAATCACCAAGCAAAAATTTTAATAATATTATTGAACACATTTTAAATATTTTTACTGAAGTTATCAACCGTATATGTAATAAACCTCAGATTTTTATGAAATTAAATTTATTAATTGAAGCAAATGTTGACTTTAGTTTTTCATGTAAAAGTCATAATTTAAAACAAATGTTAATACAAAAACTTATTGCTTTTTTTTATTTACTTGGTGCAAAAATATTAATCGTGTGCTCTCTGGAGCTGATAGCCGAACAGATAATAACAAAATTAAAATCATGGCTAAAGAATATCATATAAAATACAAAACTAAAAAACAAGGATTCAATAAATGACTTGTAAATTACTGTTATACTTTTATATTATAAATTATTATTATTATACAGTGTGATCACGATTTATGGTAACACTAAATATCTCAGGTGCATAACCTTGTATTGAAACGGGGTTTTCGGGAGGTGATAGGGAGTACATAAGTACATATTTTTGGATAAGTTTCAAATTTTTAGCTCACTCGGTATGCGCATGTGCAATACAACTTACTTTTTTTTTAATGGCAACCCCAGTTTTTTTCTGCAGGTTCGGGTAGAGTATTTTTTTTTAAACATTTATTGTATAAAATTTTTTTTTTTATTTTCAAAACGGACCAAGTTAGAGTAAGTCAAAAATTGCATTAAATACATATTATGCATAAATCCAATTTTTGACTTACTCTAACTTGGTCAGTTTTGAAAATAAAAAAAAACTTTATACATTAAATGTTTAAAAAAAAATACTCTACCCGAACCTGCAGAAAAAAACTGGTCGTTGCTATTTAAAAAAAAGTAAGTTGTATTGCGCATGCGCATACCGAGTGAGCTAAAAATTTGAAATTTATCCCAAAATATGTATTTATGTACTCCCTATCACCTCCCGAAAACGCCAGTTCAATACAAGGTCATGTACCTGAGATATTTAGTGTTACCATAAATCGTGATCACACTGTATACATACATATAGTGATGGGCATAATCGAGTGAAAATAATCGAGTTACTCGATTGTTGATAATAATCGAGATATCTCGATTATTAAAATAATAATCGATTATGTAACCGAGTGATTTTTCACTCGAACTATAGTAACTCGACTACTCGAGTACTCGTCAGTCGTCACTCGACTACTGAGGTCGACATCATATATATTACTTTCTGACCTCTCCCAATAAAACCAGCCTACAGCAAGCCATTTGTGTTTGGGCCTCCGCACAGATAAGAGGTTGAAGTTGTCTAATTCGCTGTGGTTCGAAATTCCTAGTATTTTATGTATACCGGCTACATCAGTTCCTTCGGAACGAGTATTTTCAAAAACTGGGCAAATAACTAACGACCGTCGGAGCAGATTAACTTCTAAAAATCTAGATTATATAATTTTTTTAAATAGTAATTTAAATTTGTTTAAGTAATTACAATTGTTAAATTTATTAGTAACTATTATTATTTATGTCTAAAATAATTTGCCAGGTTGACGTTTAAAATATTTAAATAAAAAAAATTAATAAAAAATGAGATTATGATTTATGCACATTTTTATTTCTTTACCTACTATACCTACTAATAACAAACTAATAATATTCCAAGTTATCATATTTATTGAATATTTTGCGTAATTATTTCGATTGATGACTCGATTATGAAAATATGTATATCAATCACCTACTATTCGAGTAATAACTAATATTACTAATATCAATTGAAAATTTCGAGTGATTATTTCGAGTGATAACTCGATTATAACAATATATCGATTACTAATAATTCGATTATAGAAATAATTCGATTATGCCCATCAATACATACATACATACATCTATTTTAATTTTGTATTCACTAATTAGTTCTTTTTTTACAAAAACCTGTTTACAATTATTTCTTTCTATTTTATAATATTATGTTATTAACTAATATATTGTTATATTTTGTAATATGTCTAATATTTATTATATTATGTAATATATTGTTCTATTTTGTATCATTTTAAATCATTTTATACTAAAAGTAATATATATTATGATATCAATTATTATAATTATATATATACATACAACTATTTTAATATTGTATTCACTAATTATTTATTTTTTTTTTTTAAATCTGTTTACCATTATTACTTTCTATTTTATAATATTATCTTATTAATTAATATATTGTTTTATTTTGTATCATTTTAAATCATTTTATATTTTTGTATGATTTAAATTTTAAATACCCAGTATTATAACTTTTTTAAAATATACATCATAGAAAAAAAAAAATTATTTATTATTTCTATATTACAATTTACATAGTTTTTGATAATTCCTTAAAAGTAATATATATTATGATATCAAAATTATATTTTACTGTTAAGTTGAAGGAGTTACATGTATTAACATTTATATGTGAAATAAGTAAAATATTATATAACATAATATTAGCATAATAAATAAAAGATAATTGACTAAAATACAGACTGTACCTGCGCCCTGCCGCCTGTGCTGGTCTTTTAGTTGGTGAGAATGACACCAAGCGCTAGTGTAGTTCGAAACCAAATATTTGGTCTAGTTGCTTATCTATTAATCTTTTATCTATGATCTTAAATTTATGTCTGGTTGATATAAGTAAAAACATTGATTCAAAAACCTTGTTTGGTCTTTTAAACCGTTTGGTAACGTTTTTTGGTAGTTCTTATAAGATAATGAATACCTGGACAAGTGAAAATACTAAAAACAGCAAAATTGGACAAGATAAGTTGAGAAAATTACATAAGGTAGCTGAATCTAATACAAGATGGTGGTCGAGACATAAGGCATTATAATGGGTGTTCAAAGGAACAGATTGCTTATTTCCTACAGTTATAAGTGTGTTGAATATTATTTCAACTGATAGTTCATTTGATAATAATTCTACATCTGAAGCACTTTCATTACTAAAAAATATATGTGAGTTCAAAGTTATATTAACTGCACATATTTTTTTGGACATTTTTAGTACGACCAACTTCCGATTACTTACAAACAAAACAGTTAGATTTTTTATCCGCTTGGAAAATGGTGGAAAACACTAAGAATGATATAAAACGAATATCATTTGAAAATATCATTATAAAAGCAAAACAATTTGCAATTGAAACTAATGAAAAACTTACTAACTTAAAATTTCCTGAACATATTTTAGTGGAAGAAAAACTTCCAGAAGGTCGTTGCTTAAGAAAAAAAAAACAATTTGATGAGACAACTGGGGATGAAGTATTAACAACACCGATTGATCTTTACAGGGTAGAAACTTTCCAGACAATTATCGATCAATTAAACATGAGTTTAAATGATAGGTTTTCATGCAATATAGATTTGATTACCGATGCACAGGTATTACATCCATCTAGTTTTGATGAAAATCTTAAAAACTTTCCGAAAAATGGTTTACTAAAGATAGCTAATTTAGTAAATATTCCTCACAATTCATTGGTAGAGGTACTTGTAGCATTTTCTAAAATATATCCATCATTGAATGGAACCCTTTCTCAAAGAGCTGAAGAACTATATGATAATATGCACAATAATGAAAATAATTTAGTTGACGATGATTCAATTGATGAAGAAGATGAAGAAGGTGACACAGCTCCAAATGCAACTATGGATAATTTAGGTATGTGAAGTTAGCAATATTTAATTTATCACTTAATAATTTTTTATTTGTGTTTACTTTATTCAACAGATGTTGATAATGGGTTAAACTACAAGTTTAATATGCATAAAAAAAGTCGGCTACTGGAAAACAAAGCTAATGTTCTGGTTGTTTAATTTGTTGTTTTAAGCTATTATTTAAATTTAATATGCATTCGGTGGCATTTACTAATTTATACTTGGCGTATGAATTTATTCTCACTTTGTCCTTTACTCAGGTGAACTGTGAGAGAAGCTTCCAGTAAGCTAAAAATTATTAAAAGTAGATTACGTTCATCAATTGGAAATGAAAAGTTAGAGGCATTTATGTTGATGAGTGTAGAGAAAGAGTTGTTAGAAGAAGTAAATTTTCAAGAAATATTACAATATGTGAAGCAAAGTTCCTCATTAATGTGCAAATTATTAAGTTAATTAAATAAAGAAATAAAACAAAATGTTTTGATAATATAAACTAATTCTGTTTTTACCATTTATATAGGTACCTATATTATAGCTTCTGTTTACCAAGGGCTTAGTAAACATGTTGAAGAGCTTTGGTTCTCAAAATCTCCCCTGATTTCTACCAATTGTCAATAATACGTTTATATATAGAGATAAGCTAAATTACTTGAATCACTGTTTTTAAAAGTTATACAGACTAGAATTATATAGGAGACAGGAGGTAATACATAATAACTTGTTATTACAAGTCCGTATATTAAAGAACACGTGGGCAGTGGGCTGCTACTTTTTCGAGTCTCCCTGGACCGATCTATCCCCAGTCCGCCTCTGCCCACACTAATGTTCTTTTACTACTCACACATAGACATGGCCCAAGTGTTCAAGTTATGTAAATTGCCTAAATATTACTCCTTAAAACATGATACGCTGGAGCCCCCTTAACGAAATATGCGCAGTCTTATCATTGAGCATACTTCTTATTCTTTATACTATGATCACTTTCACAACGTTCGTCTTGATGTGCAGACGTTCTCACATTGTAAGTACTTATTATTTAAATATAATAGATATGTAGATTATTATGCGTTATAAAACTATGTTAAAACTTAGTGTATACACGGCTTGCTATTAGTTGAATGTAAATGTGGGTTACAACATTAGTTGCAGAAACTACACGTAAATAATATACAATATTTCATTTTATTTTTTGCTGTTATCGTGAAATTTTGGAAATAAATAGTTTTTATGGTAACTTGGGAGAACGTCCCAAGTTAGAATTAGTGTCCCAAGTTATGTAAATTTGATGTAACGTAATTTTATTTTTCTTGATATTTTTTTTTTTTTTTTTACAATCTGTTACAATAAAATTAACAATAAGTAAAATAGATAATAGAATAAGTGGCTTGAGGATTTTTCTTGATATAAAATATAAAACTTGATTGGGTATCTATGACATATAAATATTATTTTTTTTTTTTTAGACATACAATGGGAAACTACAAAAACAAAATTGGAGGTAGAGCATATCAAAATTATTCCACTCAGTCGTTACAAAAAGCTATTAATGATGTTATATCCAAAAAACTTACATATCGTGATGCATCAACGAGGTACGGGGTTTCAAAATCAACCATTCAAAGAAAATTGAATGAAAAAAATATGTTGAAAGTTGGTAGTCCTAATGCCCTTTCAAATGTTGACGAGAAAAGTTTACTCAATGGGATAATTTTATCAAGTAAGTTGGGTTTTCCGTTCACTTCTCTCGACATAAGGCTATTAGTGCAGAGTTTTTTAAATAATAATGGTGTCAAAGATCCAACGTTTATTGGTAATTTACCTGGATACACTTGGCCTAAACATTTTAAAAACCGTCACAAGTGTTCTGAGCGAGAGATTAGCTGAAAATATTAAAAGGTCAAGGGCAGAAATAAATCCACATATAATAACGCAAAATGTTGACAACCTTGAAAATGTATTGGCTGGAGTTTTACCACAATTAATAATTAATTATGACGAAACAAATATGACAGATGATCCTGGAAAATGTAAAGTTATTACGAGACGAGGATGTAAACACCCTGAACATATACTGGATTCATCTAAGTCAAGCGTGTCCGTCATGTTTGCAGGAACAGCTTTTTTTTTACTACCACCGTATGTGGTTTACAAAGCAGAGCACCTGTATGATAGTTGGATAGATGGAGGGTCGAGAGGAACAAGATACAATCGCTCAAAGTTTGGATGGTTTGACGGAGTCATTTTTGAAGACTGGTTTAATAAGATAGTATTACCATATTTTCGAAAATTTCCTGTGGACGTCCCAAAAGCTATGATAGGCAATAACTTAGCGAGCCACATATCATTTTCTGTTATTGATGAATGTAAAAAGTATAACATTAGATTTATTTTATTACCACCAAATAGCACACATCTGTGCCAACCTTTAGACGTGGCGTTCTTTAGGCCGCTAAAAATCCAATGGCGAAAATCTTTATTTGCTTACAAAAATAAAAACCGAGGTTGTATTCAAAAAACTGAATTTCCAAGAATTTTTAAAAATGCATTAGATAAACTACAGATTGAAAATATGGCATCAAAAAATTTAATAGCTGGATTTAAAGCTACAGGAATTTACCCTATTGACAAAAATAAGCTAATTATTAAATTGCCTACCATCCAAACAAATCTTGATGGATCGACTAGTAGTGAAATTAATGGGTCAAAATGGTGTAAAACTTTTGAGCAGTTTTTATCAGACACAAGATCAAATGAAACAAATAACCTAAGAAAAAATAAACGTAAAAAAGTATGTTCACATTCTGGTAAGAGTATTTCTTCCAAGGCAGACCAAAGCGATGAAGAATATGATGATATTGATCAGCCATCTCCAAGTAAATATAATATTCCAAATCCTAAGATAAATACAGCAAGTCATAGCCAAAAAAAAAAAACAGCATAAAAAAGTAAGTGTAGAACTTGAAGAAGTTACTATTTCTGGGTTTTCTAAGGATGATTTTGTAACTGTTAATTTATTATACAAATCAAACTCTTCAAAAGATAAAATGAAAACATTTTATGGACAAGTACTAGATATACATGAAAATGTGACTGATACTACTGAACCTATCAAAGTAGCAGTGAAATATCTTAAACAGTCTGGGTCAAAAGAAATATATATATTCCCTAATGTTGAAGATATTGGTTGTGTTAGAGCTGATCAAATTGCAGATATTGTTTATCCTGTCGTATTAAAAAGAAATCGGTTCAAGTTCCCCATGACAATTGTTACTTAAATTGTTTATATTTTATGTTCCTAAACAATGTTATCTTATTATCTTAGATAGCTTAGGGAGCCCTCTAAAGACCACAGAGTTGTCACTAAGTTCCAAATCACATCGCTTTTTGGTAAAGCATATTTAAAAGCATCAAGTATGACAACAGCCATCAGTGGCTTTAGGGCAACAGGCATTTGGCCAGTAGCTGCCAACATATTTCAGGAACATGACTAGTACAGCAAATCAACCAAATATTTCAAATAGTGTGTCCCCAGTTGAACCAGACGTTTTAATTCCAAATTTACAAACAATAAGTTCGCCCACAGTTCATCAAGTAATTATAAATCCAAGTGTAGAAACAAATGATAACTCTACTCTTTCTTTAACACAACATGATTCACCAGGATGTTCTCATTGCCCAGCAGGTGCTGAAAAACCAGTTAGAAAAGAATTTTTTGCTTTATCTCCTGAAGAAATTCGACCTATTTCAAAAAGTAATAAAACCACTGCACGTATATCAAAGAGAAGAGGAAAAACAGCGATACTCACGGAATCACCAAGCTTCTAGCTGCCAACATGTTCAACACCCAAATGAGTAAAACGTTCTTTGTCATTTAGCCTCCAAAAAAAACTAAAACAGCCAAGAAAAATCTTAATAAAAAAACTAAAAAAGATGAAAAGTGTCTGTACTGCAGTGGGTTATACTCAACTTCAGTTGATGGGTGGATCCAGTGTCTGTTGTGTAAGAAATGGGCTCACTATTTTTGTGCTGGGATCGAAGAAACAGATTATGAAACAATATTTAACTGTGAAATTTGTTCCAAAAAATATTCTAAGTTTATGTAAAAAAATAAAAAGTTACAATTTATGTTTTTATTTTGTATGTTAAGTTATCCATTCAAGTTAACTATTGTTTTTTTTTTATAAATAAATTTTTTTGTTTGTCAAATTAATTAAAATATATGGTATTTAAATGATTTTTTTTATGTCCCCAATAGGCCAAAGGTATGAGGCAAAGTAAACTGTACCTTTTTTTACATACTTTTAAACTTTGAAAAAATAACCCCAAATTTTCATAATAAATGCTTAATCAATAACAACAACTTAAGGATAGTGTGAAAAAAATTTGAAAGGAAAAAATTGATTTTTAAGTGAATTACAGGCCTTCAGACCTTAGCGTCCCCACTTTGCCCCATGTTCCCCTAATTCAAAAACGAATAACTGTCGATACATGAAAACTTCACTGAATATTTATATTAGCATTTCCTATACAGCATACAATTATGAAAATATTTTGACTCTTTTTGAGCTGTTTACGGACATTTTAAGTTTCCAATTTTTTTAGTTTTTTATTCTATAAATATCAATAAAGTTTTATCTGTTGGGCCAAAAAGTGTAAAAATGTAATACAAGGCTCCTGATAAATTGTTACAATATCAGTTGAAAAATATTAAAAATACATACTCACAATTTTTTTTATAAGCATTTAAAGATCGAAATTTGACAAAATGTATCAAATTTAAAATTTAATAATTATTTTGTAGTTAAATTTTTTAAGTGGATTTTCTTCAACAGTAGCTTTTCTAGGTGAGTGAATCTAGTTGGTACTTTGGGGGGTCAAAAGTGAAAATTTCCAGTAGTTTTCAAAAGCGGCGTGAGAAACAAAATAAAAATTAAGGAAAACGGAAATTTTTACAATAAAATCTGTTTTCGAAAAAATCGTTTTTGGTTTTTGGTGCAACTCTTATACAAACGACCGTAGGTACATGCAATTTTGACTGAATGTTTATATTAGAATTTTCTATACACGATAACATTTTCAAAATATTCTTATTTATTTTGAACTGTTAAGGCACATTTTCATTTTTCATGTTTTTTTAGTTTTTTTTCTAAAAATATCAATAAAATTTTATTTGTTGGTTAAAAAAGGTTGAAAATTTAATACAAGGCTCCTACTATATTGTTACAATGTCATTTGAAAAACATTAAAAATCCTTACTCACAGTTTTTATTTAAAAGCATTTAAAGTTCAAAAAAGGCTGGTAAGTGGATGTCGCTCTGCTGTACAGTAGGTTACAAGTGGGTCACTGTATAATGGATGCTATTAAATTTGAATTCAATGATATAATATCATTGTATAAGAAAAACGATTCTGAGCGAAGACGGTATGTCAGTCTAGGTTTAAGACAAATTATATACATATCTATGGTATTAAAAAAAAAATTGACCTATAATAAATTCCAAATTAATTATATCACATTATCACAATATCCATTAGGTACTTATAACACGTTATACATTAACATCAATAACAAACCCTGATACTATCATAGATATATAATAGTACACTTTAGAAGTTTCAAGTAGGTACCCACGAATAATATTATATAATCTCAACAAAATAACTAGGTTTTTTAATATGTAATTTCGGTCAAATTTGAACATAAAATGACTATAAAAATAAACTGTGATTGTATATTTTTTAGATTTTTCGGTAAGAGAATTAACTACTTACGTGGAATCTAGTTTTAAATTTTCAATCCTTAGCTATAAAAACTGAAAATTTTATAATTTATTAATTACGATGATTAATAATTTTCGAGATTTTGAAAAATTCTGTCAAAATTCGATGTTTAAATGCTTATAAAAAAAAATTGTGCCTATGTATTTTTAATATTTTTCAACTGATATTGTAACAATATATCAGGAGCCTTGTATTAAATTTTTACACTTTTTGGCATAACAGATAAAACTTCTTTCCAGAATTCCCAGTGGATTGATGTGGACGTCACAGCACTACGCAATTCCTTCCCAGGCTGAATAACTGTGGAACTATTATTAACACTGTCAAATAATTTATCCACAAATAGACAGAGTTTTGCAGTGTCTGACGCTTCCTTTTCCAGTTTATCGTTGGCACCTATAACAAAATATTATGTTTATAAAATATTGCAATACATAAATAAATTAACATCTGATTTTATAGTAACTCATCTGACCATTCAGAGAGTAAAAGCATTATACTTCCAACTCTTTGGCTGAACACCTAGGCCGCAACTAAAACTTTCATTTTTCTCATTTTGTCAGAGTAGATATGTGAGTCTGTCAGTTTTGGTACTATTCTTTCACCCACATCGAGACGGTATTTATCAATTTCGTAGAATTTGATGATATGCTTCCACTTGGCTATTCTTTTTTTACCATTAATTGTAAATTCCAAGTCTTTTGTTAATAAATTGTTACGAATACCCTTCAACAAATGTGGTGCATTTTATAATGGTACTATTTCTTGATTATTTATTTCAAATCTAAAAGACCGCTTTTCAACACCCATTTTAATATAAACTTGTACAGTTTCTCGCATTAAAATATTTACAGCTGCAACATTGGTAGGAGCCTGATCACAGACGGTACCAATAATATTTAGACCAGCCGATTGAACAGTACTTATGACTTCCTTCAGGGCTACAACAAGATCAGGAGTTTTAATGCCGCTTGCTGAAAAATAATATGCTATAGGCCATATCTGCAAATTTTGTCCTACAAAAATTTCTTCCAAGATCTTCAACGCCTATTATTTTATCTTCAGATTGAAAATAATGAACACCAGCAGAGAGTGAAATTTCATCAAATAATAACACATGTTAAATACACATGTTTCGTCCAATTCATTTCTGAACCCACTAACAACAAGTTTCAGATGTTCAATTATTTGGGAATTAATGCCAGGTTCTAAAGGGATTTTCCTTAGTAAATCCATTATAGATTACTGAAGACATCATTCTGTATGCTTTAGCATTCTCTGATTTTTGTAGTCGTTGTTTAGTAGTTAAATGTCGCTTATTTACAACGGATAACGTTTTTTTCAAATCCACTACTGCCTTGTATAGAAATTGTTTTCTAGGTGTCATGTGTTTTTGCCGAGTAAAACTGATTTCTTTCGGACAGCCTTTTCGTTTTCTCTTTGAAAGAGTATGCTCCTCTTGATTAGAACCAGGAACTTCAGGTGTTACTGAATCAAGTATTTGTATTCCATCAAGGTCGGTCACTTGAAAAATAAATATAACATTAAAAATCATTGATGATATATATATATATTTAAATTCTTTACAATACTAACAATCATTCGTCGACACAAAAGGTATAGGATCAACAGTAAATGATATCGAATGATCTAATGTAGATACAAGCTCAACTTGGCTGTGTACGACTGAACCTGTAAACCAATTAAAATATAAAATATTTAATTTTATATAACTTTTATAATAAATATAACTTACAAGGATCATCTGAGTGGGTTGATTTCATAGCATCTACAGACCGTTGCATCTCAACTTGGCTGTGTACAACTGAACTTGTAAACCAATTAAAACCTACGCGCGCCACATTGGTGACCTCGCACAAACGAACACGCACGCCGAACACGTGCTCCAACGCCGAGATGGATGTTGGCGCATATGGAAAGTGTAGTGATTCACCGATTTTTAAACATTCAGTTTTGCATAAAAAAATCGTTAATAACAATTTACGAATATCGGAGAAAACTCCCATATCAAACAACGGAATACCGATGAGATATGTTATTGTTGGAGATGAGGCGTTTGGTTTATCTGACAATTTGATGCGTCCTTATGGAGGAAAAAATTTAACAAATAACAAAAGGATTTTTAACTACCGACTGTCTCCGGCAAGGCGATACATAGAATGCTCCTTTGGTATTTTGGCAAACAAATGGAGAATTTTTCACCGTCCAATGGATGTTCGAAAAGAATTGGCAATCATCATAATAAAAACATGCTGTGTGTTATATAATTACGTGTGACAAAAAGATGGATATAGATTTCAAGACACATTGGAAGTCAGTTCAGAACTAGCAACACCCCCAGGTCCTCCAAGCAGAGCAAGTAGATCATCAGCGTCTTATAGAGATTTATTTGCTGATTATTTTGTAAGTACAAATCCGCTAGAATGGCAAGATAGGGTAGCATTGGGATAGTAATTACTAATTATTATTATTATTTTAAAATTCTCCTCAAAAATTATATTATATTGATAGTATAGTATATTTTATATTATATTATAATTTATTAAAATAAAAATACTTACTGAATTCATTTTTTTCTTTTTCTGTTTGACTATCTACACACATTATATTTATGATTTCCTCCCATCGTCTTATCTTTAAATCACGATCGCTGTATTCATCAGAAGTTACGTCCCAAATTGCTTTTCGACTTACGACTTCTCGAATAAGCATTTCCGTATCGAAAGTCATCACGATATTGTCTTCGATAAATAAAAACGCGGTGATCGTAAAAAATCGAGGAAAAATTACTCGTGAACAAGGCAAAACACAACCGGCTGCCCGAACTAGTGAGCGGATACTGCAGGCAGCCACATACATTCACGTTGTTTTCCTCTGGCTGTGCGCAGCCAATTGGCTACCGTGTAGTCACGGCCGTTTTTCTGGCCGCGGCAGCCAGTAAACATTGGCTGCCTAGTGTGCGAGCTGCGATAAGAAATCATGTGTGGCATTGGCTGCCGCAGCCAGGCTGTCTAGTGAGTCACGGCCCTAACTGAGTAACGATAGACTCTCATGGGCCATGGCTGGGCAGTCCGACAGTCATGCACGCAGCAGGTGCAGTTGTTTCTGCCGCCTGGTATAGTGATATTAACCGCGTACGAGCAGGGGTACGAAACTCCGTGCGTTTGCCGAACCAGGCGATTGCGGCCTTGAACACGGTCTCCAGGAGGACGTGGCATACGTGAAATAGGGATTGGTAAACAAGCCGACACCGCTCCCCGTATTCTGCCTTAGTCTTGGAACCGATTTCATAATATTAGTAACGACGTCGGGTCTAACATTATGTTGGTGCGGGAACCAATTCCATGTTTTTCGTAGGTTCAGACTTCAGATCATAGGTAACCAATACCCCAATCAGCTGATCGAGTTTCGCTTCTATATTGTTCTGTGGTACGAGCAACGATATACTGTGGTCATACTATTTACTTATCAGTACGGACTAAGATATAAGATATTGTCATAGAACAATTAATATAGAAGGGACAATCGAAATATTAAATACATGTGTTCCAAAGCTCGTGTTATACAATGGAAGTCAAATATCTGTAAACATATAAGTGAGAATACTGGTTTAAGCCTTAAACATCGTAGACACACGGCAGTTAAATTAAGAAATAGTTCAAAATTGGTGATTATACCTATAGAACTTATTATTTATTTATTCATTAATGTAGTAAACCCAAAAACTAATATTATTTTGAACAAAATAACGTAGAATAAATAAATTATACATGTAGTATAATTTATGAGTAATAATGTAGGTATTAATACGAAATATAAATAATAATAAGTAACAGGAAGCGTGGATCAGAGGTGAAAACAACAAGTTGTTTCACATAGTCCCCCAATAATGCAATTCGACATTACTAGGGAAGTAAAATTAGAATATAGAGGTCACGACACCATTGTTAGAACCCGCATAAACAAGGGTAGAGCGCCTACAATTATTTAAAAGATAGTCAGAACTCATCGTAGGTCTAACAAGCTTACGACAGTGCTTATAGTATTTTTGTTTTTGAACTTATAAAGTGTTATATTATTGTCATATTTAAAGTCTTAAAAGTGTTAATAATTATTTTATCTATATTTCTCAACAACAACTCACGACAACGACGAAAGTGGGACGTCGTTAAATAATTATTGTAATTATGTTCAACGTGTCTTTCAGGGCGATCACTATATTATGTACCATACATACCAATTATTTATTATCCTCTGTATTTTGTATATTTTGTTTAAGATAATAGAAAATGCACATTTTCCACTATCAAAAGAAGTTCTAAATATTGGCTAAATAGACAAAACTATTTCCATTGATGATATATTGCTTTACTCAAAAAAATCATCTATTCTAACCCTGGGTATTTAGTTACATAATGTATCTTACAATTATTCATAATATAGGTACTATTTATTTGATATTATTGACCCCCCCACAGATAAAAAAAAATATTATAAAATATAAATAAAAAAAAGAGTAAATTATAATTTATTATTATATTACTATATTAGGTGTATGTATATTGTATACCTACTACCATGACAAATTAGATAGGCATAATCACAATTGCACTACTTTGGCGCAGTAGATACGCATCTCCTTCACCTCCGGCCCATAACACTTCTCATTGGTTGATTTTATTCCATGTTATATATGTATTTATATGATTGACAACCTATACCTTAGATCATATTGGTGATTCCAAGCAACTGTAGGTAGCGTTAGTTCTTATCACGGCTGATAATGAAATGTAGGCACTAGGCAGTGTGTAGTGCATAGTTAAGTCTTATTTAATTAATATTCAATTCAGTTTCATAATTCACTTTCATTATTCAAATGTTATTAAAATGTTCACATCTATAATAGATCTTATAGATATAATCAATTATATTGGTGGCAGTAAAATACCGTTGATTGAAGGTACAGAAATTCTTAAATGCAATCATATAATTGAATTTGGCATTAAAGAACAATCTGAAAATAAAGTTGTGTTCATAGCATTATGCCTACAAACATCAAACTTAAATGGGCATCCTCATGAAATTATTATATCAAAAACAAATCTAGACTTTAATACTACTATAAATGGTTCATGTAGTTGTAAAGCTGGCACTGGCAAGTGCAAACATGTTGTAGGCTTTTTGCTTAAACTTCAAAAGTAAGTACCATTCTATTATGTTAAATAATTTTAATATTCACATTATATTACTTTAATAAGTTATTTTTTAAATGTATATTATGATGTTTTAATAAAATATATGCTTTACAATATATTATCATGACTTAATGATATATAAATTAGTTATTTTTTAAACAATAAAAATATTAAAATCCATCTTTTCCTATTATCGGGTTTGAAATATTAGTAATTCCACAAACAATATATACAATTTTATCTATTTTACACATACACTTCCAAGGCATTTTATTTTTAAAAATATGGTATATTTTAATCCTTTGTATGGCTCGTTCTATGTGTACCCTAGCTTTGGCAATTTCTGTGTTTGCTACACCATCGTTTAAACTAAGCTGTTTATTTTTTCTCAAAAAAGGAGGGCGAATTAATTTGACTCCTGCATTTGTGCAAGATTCTTCTATAAGAAATCCTTTATCTGCCATTACAGAGTCCCCTATTTCACACTTATTTAAAATACCTCCAGTTTCAAATATATGTTTATCAGAAGCTTTTCCACCAAATACATCACTTACAAAAGTAATTAATCCATCAAGAGATATACCTACCATGAACTTTATGGTGTGACGACCTTTATAAAATGAATATGTCCTAATACGACATGCTAGACATTTTGGTGTTTCAATAGCAGTTTCAGTTCCATCTACAATAACTCTTGTAGACATGAAATTAATGAAACACCTAGGAATATTATTTTCTATACTGTTTTTAGATGGCCAGATAATTAGAGGTTTTAAGATTAAATATAATAGATCAATAGTGTTGTAAAAATAATTTGAGCATGTACTTTTAGATATACTAAATAATACACAAAGGCATTTATGTGATATGTTCAGTTTAAGTTTAATTAATGTTAATAATATTCGATGATGAACATCTAAGGCAAATTCGGTATTATAATTTAATCTAAGAACTATCAATTCCCCTACTTCAACTATTTTTTTGAATTTTAATAATGTGGGGATTCCTGTAAAGGCTAGTATGTCAGTATCATTTCTAATTAGATCCATAATAGTGCTTTTGAATCCTGGAGGTCGGTACAAAGGGTCTACTTGGATACATTTATCAAAAGTTAGTATATGTTCTTTGTTAGATATTTGAACCTTAGCTTCATCTATTAATTCATTAGCAAGTTCTTCAACGTCAGATGATGTTTGCTCTTGTGTTTGATCTAATTCATTACTTGCACCAAATAAACCTCCGACAAATTTGGATCGTTTTTGTGCTCGCTCAGATCTTTTTCGTATCTTTTCTTTTGTAGGAGTGTCAATCACTTTGTCCAGTTTTCTTTTTGGAAGATTCAATGATGGAATCACATTTACTTTGAGACGACGCAACCTCGGCGAGTGATCTAAATAGGTTATTATTTTGTACAAAAAAACTGTTAAGTCTTACAATTTTATCATTTAAAATAAAGGTCTTAAACTATAATCAATTGGCTAATAATAAAATCCTCGTCTTGGAAGTGAAATGAACACACCACAGCATTTTTTGGAGTTTTTTTGCCCATTTTCAAAACAATCTCCCACTGTCGCTTTTTGTTAATGTTGCTTGGAAATGCATGAAAACTTACACTAGTATCACCACGTCTTAAATATAATAAAATAATATTTATTATTATAGTATAGTGTTATATTAGTAACAGTAATAATAAATCACTAGTTATATTACTAAATTTGTATTATTTCTATTGAAATATTGAACTTACATATTTTTCTTATGGCACTGAGGTACACAGTATCTTTTCGAATGGTAGAGTTCGGTATTTAATTTATTTGAGTAGGTATGATCCGATTTGGACATTTTAAATTATATTTAATTATTAAATAATGAAAGTAAAGAAATATTTTATAAGTTCACAGTTTACACCACGTTTTTTGTATATAAAATGATATTATCATTTCATCATTAGCCTACATTTCGTTAGTTCTTATCAATACCGATAGAGTTCAGTTACTTCGATTGGAATCGCCAATACAATGGATGGAGTCATAGCATACTACGCGTATAAAATGAGTTGATGCCAACATTACTATAGGACCTGTGACACCTGCGCATGCGCGACTGCTTATCATAATATATCAATCTGTTTTCCCGCTTAAAATTGACTTTAGGTAATCTGAATTTTCAAAACATTGTTATTACACAAAATTACAAATGCTTATTAATTTATATTTGTTAATGTCTTTATATTTATAAACGTATAAATAATAAACCATTTGAACAAACAAATATTTAATTAATAATATTATTATAATGCCGACTAAAAATGCGTGTGTTTTTTGTCTACGGTCTGTTTATTATAAAAATCCAGGATTATCTTTATTTGGGTAAGTCTAGCTAGTGTTTTTAGTTTTAAACAATGCACAATAAATATTATGATGTAATTAAATATATTTTAATTAGATTTCCTAAAGATCCAAAACATCTTAAGATCTGGGTTATGAAATGTGGATTCACTTTCAATGGCAGGCAAGAATGTGTGACATAAATTCACCAAAATAATTTTATTTAAAAATCAGTAGGTAATAGATATTGAGTACCTATTGTCCCATTCTATTATTCCGTATATTACCTTTTGAGTTATATTACACTTACACTAGTTTCTAATACACTTGTTATTATTATTTTATATTTATGACTATGCATAAGTACATAATGTTAGTAATATAGTAAATATAGTTAATCTTAATACATTAAAGTAATACATTTTATATAATACATAATAGTATTATGTAGGTCTTATAACAGTTATAACAAAAAAGAAATAACAATTGAAGAAACTTAAAAAACATATTTTATAGTTGTTAGTGTTGTTACGTCTTGTTTATCTTAACTGCGCCTCTGTACTCTGCGCCAAACGTTAATGATAAGAGACCACGCGCATGCAAATATCACCAAGGTCCTACAGTGATGTTGGCTTCACAAATAGTTCGTATGGCTCTATCCATTGTATATGATCTAAGGCCTATACGAAGTGGAGAACTACGATAAAGGCGAAGTGAAGAGCGGAGGATGCGTATCAAAATACTGTGATGATACCTATTTAATTTGTCATGTTTACTACCAACATATTATCAACTAAAAAAATATTTGTAATTACTTATTATCATATTTTAATATAACATAAGATAAAACACAGAAAATTAATATTAATTTAATTGCGATGTATTTATTTTATTTACCATTTATTAGATTTTACTCTGTAAGTATTATCTTTAAATAAGTAATAATTCAATAACTACAAATCAAGCTATGTTATAATATAGTTTCTACGATCTATATATCGGGACATCAATTTAGGTAAGCAGTATCTTAATTTATGACCGGTAGTTCGAGGCCTCTAGGGTATTGAAAATATTACGGCGGCATTTGCGTATAATGAATTTTATAATGATACGAATCGCACTGGCCGAACGACGTTCATAGAAAAATAAACGGCGCTCCCGAACCGAACGAGCACTCGTCGCCGCCGTCGGCCAGTTGCGAATTGCAAATAGTAGGCGTGACATAAACGCCACGCGCTTGCGGATCGTGAAAACACCCAACAGCGCATCCTCTCGGTCGTTGCACCCATACATTTTTGTTGACACGTCCTCTTAGGGCCGATTTCACCAACAAAGTTAATCACGGTTGAAGTTAACCGGAGTTTAATCGGCAGAATTTGTAATTAGCCGATTAAGCGTAATCAAAGTTTAATCGTGAATAACTGTGTTGGTGAAATCGCCCCTTAATATTTCACTTTCCAGCTAGCCGGTGGCGGCTGATAGCGCTTCGCGAATAATCTACATATTATATAATTCACAACCGACTAAATTAAAGTCAAAAATAATAAAAATACAATTAAATCGTAAATTTTGAAAAGGGCCCATCTCGAGTTTTGATCAAAATAGATTTTTAAACGTTTTTATCATTTACACATATAGATCCATATTTTATGAGCTAAAAGGGTCCAAATCTGTTTTCTATTGTTATGAAAAAAACATTCTATTTTTCGAAATTGTTTGATTTAATATGATATTTTTATTTGTATTATTGATTGCTGCTGTGGTCGCCGGTCGATAGCCATCGTTATTATCGTGATTATAACGTTAACCAAAACAGCCTTAGGGCCGATTTCACCAACACAGTTAATCACGGTTAAAGTTAACCGGAGTTTTAATCGGCCGAATTTGGCCGGTTAAATATCTGTTATCAGCCGATTAACCGATCATGATTAACTGTGTTGGTGAAATCGGCCCTTAGCCGTTAGTTCAGTTGCGTTCAGTTTGCACAGTTAATTTGTTGTTTTTAAACTTACTCTTATATTAATAATTAATGAGTGAATCTAGCAGTTCGGAGATTGACAATTATGAGACCAAAGAAAGAAAAAAGGTGTGGAAACACTGAACGTTATAAACACGAAGTTATTAAAAGAGCAAAAGTGAAAAGGCTTCTTCGGGTAAACTATACTAGAAAAACCATCGCCCCTAGGAGAACTGGAGGTAGCTGTAAGTGGGTTCGTAATTTAAATTTAATATTTCATTTATTTTTCTAAATAGTTTTATGTGCATGCAGTCATTAATATGATTTTATTATAATAAGAAATATTGCTATAGTATGACGCGGCTACGGCGGTGATTGAGTGGTGTCCGCGGTAAGCCGGTCGTAGAGTGATGGTGTTGACTCTCACAAAAGAGAGAGGAAACCAAATCAAAGAGAACGCAACACAGTTTGATTAAGGAGTGCCTTGTGAGGCTATTTATTCGTGTGTAAACACAAGAGAGTTATTTTACATTTTTATCATCTGTTTTTACAAAAGTCGAGACGAAGACGGTCGGTATCGGCGTAGTCGGTAACACGGACGGTGGTCAAGAGTATTGTTGTCGGCGAGACGGTCGACGTTCAAGAAGGTTGCCACTTGCCGCCAGCGACCGATACTCGCTCTACGCGACTTGCCTCCCCGTCCCGCCTTGCCATTACGGCGTGGTGGTGGAGTTGGAGATGTCGCGCTCGTAGTCCGTGGTGGCGGTTTGTGAAGTGCAGATAGGTAGCTACGACGCCTGTACTTGGGGTCTATTTTGTACGCCATACGAATATTGCTCATACATACGATTGTTCGTACACATTTTTTTCGTATACGAACATGATTTGGTATTTTATACAACCATACGAAACTAAGATATACGAATCATTGGCCATATGGATGTTTTTCGTACTATATTTATATTCGTACGTATGACGTCATTATATAATGACGTTTATCCGTATTTTAATTTCGAACCTATACGAACAGCATTTTAAAGTACGTATACCTACATGGTTACATCGTATAGTCGTCCATACATTTAAACGAATTATGGTGGAATTATATCTTACTATAATACTATAGGAACAATAATTTAATATATTATAATATGTTCAAAATTCAGTTTATGTACCTATATGCTATAAAAATAAGAATTAACAAACTTTTCGTTCAATTGTTAGGCCTCTTGATGTGGCTGACGGTTCCATGTAAGGATATACCGTATTAATGAAACGTTTCATTAAATTTTTTGATAATCGATACACGTCATAATAAATTTCCTTTCGGAAAATTCTATATAATTTTAAAACATTAAATTTACTTATATTTCCAATACCCACGACTATATTTTCAAACTTAATATCATGATACTGAAAAATAAAATTTGAATTGTAAGAACTTACCTTAAAAAGGGTTTCTATTAGTATACACTTGACTATGGAATTCGGCAGCATATTCTTCGACAATTTCTAATGCTTCTATAGCGGCTAGATTTTCAATCAAATCAAAGTCATCCATTTCGTCAATAAATGAAGAATGTAACTAATTGTATAATATTATGTCGCAATAATTCTAAATTGATAAAAACACCGTTTTTAAAAATCTACAGCGGTGCAAATGATTATACAGCTATGATATTAATTAATTGAATTGAGATAATATTTATTTTGTTGTAGTATCTATAGGAAAACCGGCTTTCACATACCCTACTACCATACGTAGTAATCATACTAAAACCAGTCGTACATACGAGGGATTTCGTCGTACGAATATAGTTACAAAATACCGTACGTACGTAATTTCGTACGGACAATGTACAAAATACCATTTTAGTGAACCATACGTAAAATTTACGAATGAACGGGAGTCAGTCGTACGTACGCTGATATTGCTGGTTTTGCTCCGTTAACAAACGCAATAAGTGCCCCCATTTTATGCGATGAGGCTACCGCTGCGGCTGATGCTGGCTCTAGTCCTAGTGTTAACGCTCCTACCAATTCGTGATAACATTTTTCGGTTCGCCCGGCGAAACTACGAACGTCCTCGTCGGATCGTTGTCTAATATTACTAAGTTGCGATTGTAAATAATTAATTGAATGTGGTGCCCCAAAAACGTTTCGAAGGTGGTTTTTAAGCTCAGACCAGTTTGCAAAATTTCGGTAACGAGTAGCTTGGTATGCATCTCCCTTTAGCTTGGATATTATATTATGAAATACTACTGTTACAAGAGTTTCATGGATATTGTCCATTACGTAATTGCATTCCGTTATATATGAGGATAGTTCTACCTCAGTACCTCCGCTAAAGTTAGGTATGCCGCGCAAGGCGGAATCAATCTATAATGTTACGCTCATGACTTGTTCGTAAAGTTTGCAGGTTATGTTTAACTACTGCCCAACACCTTGGACTCTCAGACATATACTATATAATTGCTTGTTAAAATAACAACTTACAATGCGTTACTCATTGCGATTGGTCTGGTCCTGTCTGCTTTAGCGTGCTGACGGCTCTGCTGGCTTATTGCTGATACTCCGCTTGGCTATGTTGAGTGAAAGTTGGAATGTTGATTGAAGTTGGTGGCTTGGCCCGGCTTGCTTCCTTCCTAGGTATCAGCAACGTGGATGAACTCGAGGTCCGCTGATGTACTTGGCTCCAGGTTGGTTACTGGAAAACTTCCTTCAGATGACCCCACCCCTGACACCAAAAACGTGTAGTGATCCCTCACTAACGCTTATATTTTGAGTTCAAAGACGTTGACGGTTGAATAGGAGAAAAGGTTGCAGAGTGACAAGTTACACAAGTTAGATATAAGTAATTTTATTAAAGTTTAAATAAAGTAATTGTTCACATTTAAGTGTACCTATATAAATTTGAGAACATAGCGGAAAGCATCTGCCCGAGAAGTTAGTTACGTACAGTATATATGTAGTGCAAACTCTATACTAATTCTAATTTTGCTATAGACATTATCTTATATTTATATAAAATCTATACGGATATAAATGTACACGGTAGAGTCTAATAGATGGATATTTGAAAGGAGCCGGAGGTAGATGTTGTTATTGCCAAAAGACCCGAGTGAATTATTGGAAATTTAATAGGTTTATTTTCGCATTATTTTGGCAAAGCGGAAATCGGTAAATTAATCAGTTAGATTAATTTTTTAATTGCGCTGCCAAACTCAAGGTATTGAAAAAGATTAATAGTCTTGTTGTTGTTCAGTGTGTTATATCGTGAGAATGTACTTATGATATTTAATATACAGGAAAGCGACTCCGTCGGTTTACTACACCTGACACATATATAAATAATGAACATATATGTTTGCATGGCCAATGATACTTTACAAAATCTAAACATGTACAACTTGGTACAGTAAAATCTACTACATATACATTGGACCCATTTTCACTCTGTACTTCAAACTGATGTTCTAATAATGTAATTTTGTTTATTCTTTTTCCCCTATTTATATTTTGAGCTATGACAAAACGGTCATATATATGTTTCAGGTCGTCCATGTAGAAAAGTTGGAATAACATTTGATATTTTTTTATAATGATTATTAAGTTTAAAATTTTTCTTCTGATATTTACATAAAGATTGTGGTAAAAATTGTTCAATAATGTTTTCTATTGTACTATTTAGTGATTTATCACTAGAAAACTTCAAATAAAAATGTTTCAATAATTTATTTTGAGATTCAACTCCATTATTTGTACCAATTTTAATATCAAATTCCAATTTAAAAAACTTACTTGTCCATTTTTCTTCAACTGTAAGCCATGTTTTAATAAAACAATCTTGTGAATTAGGATTTTCAACCATACATCAGTTAACTTCATCTTCTCAACTTTATGAATAAATTCAATGTTGTTTCTACTATTGGAAATGTTCCTCTAGAGTATCAGAAGTTCACCTCGATTTTCTTTAATATTCAGATTTCCCTGTTTATTTGTCGATCTTAACCATACCTGTTCTCGATGGAAATCACATATGTAAAATGGTAATTGCATTATATTCTGCTTCGCAGTAATCTGTTACGAAATATTGACGAGACCACGTCGTATTCCATGATTTAATTATTGTTAAACCTTCTTCAATAGATTTTGAATCTTCACATTGAACAAAAAATGGAGCAACAACAGAATAGTTAACCTTGGTTTTTACAACAAGGAGGAATAATGGAAGTGCATATTTTGTAGTTTTGTATGTTGCGTCAAGAAAACATACATTAGCATACCGATTAAGTAAGTATCTTTGCCATTCCGTTTTCTGACGAAAAAGTAATTGCTTTATAATTCCATCCTCTTCACTAAATGACCGAAAATAAAAATTATCTTTTGGTTCGGATATTTTCCATTGTTCAATTTTAATTTGAAGAGCATTTTGATCAATTTTGCTTTGATGTTTTTGATATGTGAATTTTATAATAAAATTTCTGATTGTTCGTTCATCAGGGTAAAATGCTCGTGACAAAATTGATGGTTTTGAATGTGAACGTTCAACAAAATCTTTCAACATTGACTGAACAATTTTAACATTTGAAAATCCATTATTTACCAACCTTGATATTTCGTTATAAACAAATAATCTATTGGAAGATTTAAAAGAGAAGTTTTTATTACGTGGTTGTGTACTGACGGTAAGGAAACTCAACATAGATATTTATTTTTCGTAACACTTTGTTTTCCCATCTCAATATCCTTTTTAAGCAATCTTCTTCTTCTTGGGTTTTCCGGCCATCAAGACCATCCCATCACACATCCAATCCTCCAGCCTTCTCTATCCACCGCTCTTGTTTTTCAATACCGTCCTCCGTTCAGTGTTTCCACGTCTTTTCTTATCACATCATCCCACCTCAATCGTGGTCTTCCCAGTGGTCTCCTGCCTACTGGGTTCTCGTCCATGATCATCCTTATGAGATGGTTCTGGCTTCGTATAGCATGTCCAGCCCATTGAATTCTTCGGCTTTTGATTACGCTTAATATATTTTCTTTCCGGAACATCCTTTCCAGTTCCCCATTTTTTCTCGTTTTCCACTCTCCCGTTTCTCTGTCCATAACAGGTCCAAAAATCTTCCTTAAAACTTTCCTTTTAAAAACCAGTAATTTCCTTTCCTCAGTCTTTCTCAATGGTCAGGCCTCAGCCCCATAAGTGACAACTGGGCGTATTAAGGTTATGTATATTTGTGCGAGCTCCAGCCTCGAGAAAGTAATAATTCAACGAGATACTGATGCACGCGAGGGAGGATAGGAATGTGATAGAGAAAACAAAACAGAGTATAATTTCTTACGAACTATGAAATAACAACAACGTTTGTTTTGATAGTAAACACAAATAAGATGTTGTACTTTGTTGTAAATAATATTCGTAACGACTAGTGTTAGTAGGATAATACTAATGACAGTAATAAAAGGGTGGTGATCACACCTCGATCCACACCAACAGATAAATTATAATAAAGAATAGGCGTACCTATGTACAATTATATCAACATGTTTGTGTACGACCTGAATTCGAAACCGCAATTGATAATGAGCGAGTGATAAGTCGGCGACGGGGCCGGTTGAGTTGTCCCGGACGGAGTCGCACTGCAACAACAGCTGGTCACTGATCCGGGTGGACACCGTACGGCGGCATAAACGGCAACATTCCCAGCGGTGGCTGATAGCCAACCCCACTACTGGAGTACCACTTACTGCTGGCGATGCGTCGGTCGAAAGTTCAACTCGATACGCTGCGGAGTATCTCCAACAATAGTTGTATCTTCATTTCTATTGACATAGATCGTGATCCTAATATTTTCGTGAGTGCATAGAAATATTTATTCCCTGATAGGATTCTTGATGCTATTTCTTTGTCAGTCTCATTTTTTTCTGTTAATATTGAACCCAGGTACTTAAACTATTTGACTCTACTGAACTCATATCTACCAACTTTCAGATGTGGAAAAATGGCCATACTATCTCTTCTACCAACAACCATGTATTCGGTTTTTTCCTCGTTTACTTGTAACCCTACTTTTTTTGCCTTTTTCTCCAGACGAGTGAATAGTGATTTTAAATTATCTTGTGATTTGCTCATTAGTACCACATCATCTGCATATGCTAAAATTGTTATATTCGATTCTTGTAACTTAAAACCTTCTTGTGGTTGAATATACATTTCTCTTACTACTTTCTCTAAAATTAAGTTAAATAGAATCAGTGATATTGAGTCTCCCTGTCTTAACCCAGATTTTTAAGCAATCAAGTATTTAAAATTAAAAAAAAATTAAATATTTTAATAATTTATTTTCAGATTCAATTCCATTATTTGTACCACATTTAATGGAAAATTCCAATTTAAAAAACTTATAGTACCTGTTTTTTAAGCCTCCATTTAGTTAAATATTTTGTATAAACTGCTCAGTAATTTGATTTATAGCCCTGAATTAAAGTCTATGATTTAAGATGTGTAAAATTATTTTCTTTGTCTGTAGCAACAACCAACTTAATGTCTAATTCTCTGATGCATAGTATTGTAAAATGGGCAAATATAATATACAATGTTAATTTCTTTATATGTGAATTATTTAAGTGAGTTTAAGAGGAATATAAATTTAGTCATTCGATGATATGTTATTGTATATAATTATATATTTATATTGTTGATGGACTTTAAGTATAAATTAAATTAATTAATTAATTAAAAAAAACCTACTAAACTATAATATGTTAATTGATAATTACAAACCTACTTTAAAAACCAAAAGTATTGTAAATGTAGAGGTTTAGATTAGGTAAAAATACTTGAGCATATAATTGAGCATTTATTCAAATACTTTCTAAGAGTATTCTTTACAAAACTGGACATACAAATAATATTTACCACCATATTTTGTTGTTTTGCTTTTTACAAATCCATTATCTAATATATTAATTTGTTTAAAAATAGCTCAAAATTATCTGTCTCTCCAATTGTTTTTGCATTGCAGATCTCTGCATTAATTAATGTTGATTTTAAATTATTAAAAAAGTCGCTGTCACTCGTGATGAATATAAGGCAATGGTTAAATGGGTTATTCCAAACTGTTCACTCATATAAGTAAACCATACTGAAGAGAATTGAAGAAGATTTTTTTCTCTTTAATCTATTAGGAGAATATACAAAACCAGTTTTGCAACAATTCTTTATTTATATTTTTGTATTTGGATATTTTTCATATTACTATGGAAGTAGTACAGTACTATACTGTAATAAAGTACCTATTATATTTAACAGTTTTATATATTATGTCATGTCTGGTCTTATCTTAATAGCATCAATGACATTGTGAACCACAATAGATCTATTGAATCTACTACCTACACTGCATAATCTATCTATCTTTGGCCTGCCAACAATAAACATAATCACCGATAAACCCAAGTGTTTTATATTATATATATTTTATATTTATTCAATGTAAAAAAAAAAATACAATTATAACACACATATTGTGAAGGGTACCCACAAAATAAATTTCTGGTTTTATTAAGCTAGCTAGCTTTATTATATATTTTGAATATAAAAAAATGTGTATCCACAATTTACAATAAATACATTAAAAGTACCTACACGGCTACACATTGTTCGTCAAAAATAGTAACAATTTTGACTATTGTGATTTTTTCATACTAATATAAGTAACAAATTATACAAATATTCCACAGATTTTGGTCAAAGTGGCAAGCTGAAAGAAAATCTAATGATTTACCAGAAGCTTCATTCAGTAAATACTGTAACATATTATTTACTAATCAAGATGTTTGTAATTTCTGTACTGAAAAAAATATCCAAGATATCTGTAGAAAACGATAAGCATTTTAAAAATGAAATGAAACTGGAACTCAAAACTCACCAAGCCTTATCCAATTTTTTTTTTAAATTGATGTATGAAAAAAATGAGAATGAAATTATATTCAGCATTGATATGATGCAAACCAAGCTCTTCCCAAACTTTCAGTAACCGATACATTTCACAGCAGACAAGCTTGGCTTTACAATTTGACATTTGTGTCTAATTCGGATCATCAAACTGCTGAAAATGTAGATCTGTATACCTGGCTAGAAACTCAAAGTGGTCGTGGCCCCAATGAGGTATGTAGTGCATTGTCACACTTTTTGGAACAGTTAGAAAATAAATTAAAAGTAGCAGGTAAATCACCAAAAGTTTTAAAATTATTCTCAGATTCCTGTTCTGCACAAAATAAAAACCAGTTTGTCATGACATTGCTATTATACTTCGTAAACTATAAATAAACCATTTTTTCTACAATTAAACATATATTTCCAGTTAGAAGATACAGCTACATGCCTCCTGACCAAGTATTTGGAAGAATTGAGCAAAAACTTAGAAAGATTGAAAATATTTTATTACCAACAACATATTATGATATATTCAGAGAATTCTGTACATTATGGGAATATAGTAAAGATTTTAAAACAAATATAAAAAACGTTATTAAAAGTAAATTGGGATTTAAATCAACTGAACATAAATTTTTTACCTATACAAGAGGAGATAAATTTGTAGGTATATCATCGTCATATGAAGCTACCCCAACACGGATACAACTTTTAAAACGAGGAGCAAATTTGGAAAATTTAAATGATGTGTTGAAGCTTGCACAAATCAATCATGTAAAAGAACCAAAACAAAATTATATAAGAAATTTATTGAAATATTTTACTGTCCCTGATGAAGCCAAAGAATTTTACAATGATATATTTAAACCAAATATTGATGAACTTAATAATGATTTTGAAGATGAGAATGGAGTTTTTATCTATAGTGAAGATACTAATTTGTATTTATATATTTTTTTTTGTTACCTCAAGTATTAAATATTAATGGCATAATGCATAGTCTTCAATATATTATTATACTTATTATATAAATTATATTATATTGTTATAATGTTATAATATAATATTAGTAATGTTTTGATATCAAGGGAAGATACTCATTCATTTTTAACTTTTTTTTTGTTAATTTTATATTAATCTTGGTAAGTATTTAATAATATTTACTTCTTATTATTATACATTAATATATATTTAGCACATGATCCCATCTTTCTAAAATCTAAACAAAATTAAAATAATGGAAATAATACAATGAGCTACTTTATGGTCGACTATACATATCACTATATTAGCTACTTTATGGATAACTATTAGAACAGCAATAGTTTAGCTCACACATTATTACAACGTAAAACATATTGCACAGGAACTCTTAGAAACAACCGAAAAAATAATCCAAAAGAAGTTATTTCAAAAAAAACTCAAAACTGGAGAAACTGCTTGTAAATATACAAAAGATGGTGTGTGTATAGTCAAATGGAAAGACAAAAGGGAAGTCCTTGCTATAAGTTCTGAGTTCAAAAATGAAATGGTAGAAGTACAGAATAAATATGGTCAATCTAAATTGAAACCCTTGCCGATATCGGAATACAATAAGTTTATGTCTGGTATTGATCGGCAAGACCAAATGATGTCGTATTACCCTTGCGAAAGGAAAACTTTGAGATGTTACAAAAAAATAGCGATACATTTTTTGCAAATTGCTTTGCTAAATTCTTTTTTGCTGTATTGTGAAAATATCATATTATGATTTTCGACTATCAGTCATC